GAACTAGCATGATCGGATCATGGGAATGGGGTTTTATGGGGTAAAAGTGGGGGTTTCTCAATTTTGACACTAAAAAAAAACATTTTAGGCTACCGGTGTAGCCTACTGCTTGAAAACAATTAATTTAGGATATTGAAATAATTAAGCATTTGTTACGGTTATTGGTTACAGAGAAAATTTAAAATATTTTTATTTAAAATTTAAATGTTTTTTTTATTTAGAACTAGCTGACCCGGCGAACTTCGTATCACCTAAGTTATAGGTTTCCCCTAAGACAGACCGATAGAAAGAAAGTACCGTTACGTTTAATTTTCAAGATGATCTCGTTCGCATCGCTCAATCACGTCCTGGTTGAAGTTCGTTCGCTACGCTCACTCACCTTTGGGTTGGAGCTCGTTCGCTACGCTCACTCACCTTTAGGTTGGAGCTCGTTCGCTGCGCTCACTTGCCTTCAGGTTAGCTCGTTCGCTACGCTAACTCGCCTCCAGGTTGAAGTTCGTTCGCTACGCTCACTCACCTTTGGGTTGGAGCTCGTTCACTACGCTCACTCACCTTTAGGTTGGAGCTCGTTCGCTGCGCTCACTTGCCTTCAGGTTAGCTCGTTCGCTACGCTAACTCGCCTCCAGGTTGAAGTTCGTTCGCTACGCTCACTCACCTTTTGGTTGCAAATTAGCTGTTGTCATAAATGTAAAAGAAATAATAGTGCTGCACCCTGTTGGTAATCCTTGTAACTTTAATGCTATTGAACATCATAGAACAGAACCAACTTGTTTAATTGAAACAGCTGTTAAGATTCATTAATTCCATTTCTCATAAGGTTAACATGGGAAACTCCAGAGCCACTGGGGCGGAGCCCTTTTAAGAATTTCGAAACGGGAAATAGTTTACGTCCGATTCGCATACCTACAGAATTTACACACCAAATTTCATAACGATCGGTGAAGTCGTTCCGGAGGAGTTTGCAGACAAACACTGTGACACGAGAATTTTATATATTAGATAGGCAAACTGTAAACCTACATAACTGTAGGTACATAATTTGCTTGTTTATGGATATATTTGGATACAACTTGCAAATTTATTAATCTATTAATATTTTACCAAAAAAACACCCTAATATTTTATTACCTTCCATGTAGCAGCAAACATAGGCACTTTTTACCTAATGTTGTAAATAGATTCAATTGAAAATCCAACCAGGCAAATGGAAATTTGCTTAGTCTGCAGGTTTGCTGCAGGGGTTTACATATATACGTTCGTGAACTTGAGTAATATTTTGAGGATTTTGATGAAATTTTGCGTGAAGATGTAGGACGGACTAAAGATTAATTTTGTACTAACTATCTGTTAATTAAGCTTGCCATATATGCACAGTAATATGAGGTTTTATAATATATATTCAGTAGACCTCTACACATATCATTTTTCAGTTTTTACATGTGAATCTATTTCTATTGTAATTTACATAAACCTATATTTGAGAACCAAACACCTCTGCTGTATTGCAGTAAATTTAATCCAGTGAAAAAGATTTGTTGCATATTTGTACTTCCTACTACATTTAACCTAATCATCATTGTTTTGCATGATATTCTTATCAAATATGCCAAGGTTAAGTACTGTGTGCTTTGCCTTTTTGTATTGTAATATATATTTGTTTCATGGATTAGTTGGTTGTGATCAATTTCTAATGTAAAATAATTGTATCAGGTCATCATAGTCACAGAATTACCTCATTGGTTAGTTTTAAAGTGTTAGTATGGGTAATATTTTTTTTACTAATATCAAAGCCAAATAAAACCTATTGTGATCTGAATAGCTTTCTTACATTGAAAGTAGTTAATAGTTAGTTCAGTTATCTGGTTTTAGTAGGCCTGAATATATATTAGCCTATGTCCTATTCATTGTGAGCAAAAGTATGGAGGAGGTTAAACTAAAAAATTTTAACTCCCACTTAGACAAAAAATAACTTGCAAGTTCATGACATTAAAAACTCACTTCAATAATGTGTTAAGAGGGTTCTACCAGGTCAATTCAAGTTGGCGGCTAAACATGCTAAATGTTTCTAAACATACCTCTACGGTACAAGCTCTCAACACTCTAAAACTAATTTGTTTCCAATGATTGTGTGCTTTTTGTGCTCTTAACATATCAAAGCTTGCAATGGATGAGGATAAATTAATTTTTAATTATTATTAAGAATCTAAAATCACATGTGAAAAACCCAATTTATGGATTTTCAAAATTATTTTGTTTATCCAGTTTCAGTTCATCCAGGGCATAGTTTGGATCTTTGTGAATATTATACAGTTTATTTCAACTCGATAAACAATTAAATAATGTCACGAGGTTCTTTTTCGTAGGACCTTGTTTACGTGGTTACCCCATAAATTTAAAACAAATGTACAAAGGGGAAAAAATCCTCACAAAGACTGTACATCTGCGTGTGGGAGAGTCTTCTTTGTCGCTCACCACTTCACGGACAAAATAACAAGATAAACAAATAATTAAAATAAAAAAGAAGTAAAAAAATCTTTTTTTTTTGCTTTAACGTTGGTAAAAAAAAGACTAAATTGAACATGAACAAATACTATAGATTGAGTTGAACAGGTCCACAATATATGTAATAAACTAAGAATACTTGAATGAGGGTGACAGTACTGAATTAATTTGCATTTTTTTGGCCTAATTTAGTTTTGGAACTGTTATTGACTTTCTTATATCCTGTACTGGGATCTGATGAGCTCTTCGGCAGCATCATCGCTCGGTCCGAGAAGCCAACGCTCGATCTTTGTGCTGAAAACTGTGGCACTGTCTCCCTCCCACTCTCTTATCTGTATAGGGAGATTAGTGCATACAGTAGGACCTCAATATCTCGAATCTGAAGGGGTTATGATAAAAATTCGAGTTATCAAGTTTTTCAAGTTAAAGAGGTTCGAGTTATGAAGGTTCCATATGAAAAGTTCGAGATACTGAGGTGTTGGGGTCTGACAGTGATGTTACGTCACGGCCTTTATAACTCGACTTTAACATGTTAAACCTTTATAAATTGAACTCAAACTGTATTTATACGTACTGAAGAGCAACTTTTGAAGCAAAATAAAACAGTTTTAATGCACATAAAGTAGGCCTACCGGTACTGTATTTATTATTTGGCAATAAGTTTGATAGCCTAAATTACATAAAAATAAAAACATGTTAAATAAAAAAAAATAGTTTAAATACTGTACAAAATACAAAACAATAATACAGTATACCGTACATTAAATCATCCATACACGAAACTAAATTTTCTGTGTATAATGTCTGTTTAAAGCAAACGTTAGTCAAACTCTTTATATATACTGTAAAAACAAGCTACTGTAACAAGAAAAATACTGAATAGCCACAATACTGTACATACAAAAAGTATGTAGAGAGTATTTAAAGGGAAAATACAGTACTGCACTAGTGTGATTAAAATACTAAACAAAATGCAACGTAAAAACTATATCAACAACTGGCAGACTACTGACTACAGTACCTAGCCAAACAGACACATCAGGAAGCAAACACAGGAAGTTGGATTTGCACGTCTCGACAGGAATCAAAAGACAACTGACTTGCACTGTTCAGGCAAAACTTCGAATTATTGAGGCACATTCGTGCGAACTTCGACTTAAAAAGGTAAACTTCGAGTTACTGAGGCTCGATGACGGGAAAATTCGAGTTACAGAGGTAGAATGTTACTGTTCAAAAGTTGTTAAAATTCGACTTATTGAGGTTAAATATTTAGAAACTTCGACTTATAAAGGTACTTTTAACATTATGATTAATGTGGATTTCAAGGGGATTTGTAAAAAATCGAGATATTGAGGAATTCGAGATATCAAGGTTCGAGTAATTGAGGTTCTACTGTATAATGTGTGCTAGATAGTGAGGGGTAAGAAGCTGTGCTTTATTGTTCAATTTAGGAACGGAAATGCCTATGTGTGCTCTAGATCTGGTGTCATATGTATGTAGCGAGTCAGAGAAAATTTTGCTTTTTTTAAATTTTGAAAAGGTTATGATTGTTTTAAGAATAGTTTTCTGATGTTAAGGACTGGAAAAGTACAAAAATAAAAAATAATGGGTAAAGTGTCATTAACCAGAACGAAAAAACAAGTAGAAAAAAGTAAAGAATAACTAGTTTTTAGCGAATTTCCCTATAGGGAAGTAGCTATTACCGTAGGTCTCATGGTAAGACCTAGGCCCGGGACCGATTTACTTTTTCATTTTGATGTCCCCAGAGGCCAAAAACACCATTCGTTCAAATTTTTATATATCTATATATAGAGATATATATATATATATATGTGTCCATCCGCACGATAACTTGAGTAATTTTTGTCCGATTTTGTTAAAATTTGGTTTGAAGGTGTAAGGCGGGATAAACTCGAACGAGTTCGCGAACCAGCATGATCGGACTATGGGAACGGGGGTTTACGGGGGGTTTTATGGGGTAAAAATAGGTTTTTCCCATTTTTGACCCAAAAAAAATAAAATTTTGCAAAATCTTTTCAAACCATTTTGTAGAGCTTAAAAAAACAAATAATTTAGTATATTGAAGTGTTACTATGCGCCTAATGGTTACGGAGAAAATTCCAAAAAAATGTAAATTTTAAATTCCCATGTTATTCTTATGGAGAATGAGTAAACTGTTGTAGTTTGCTTGTTTATGAACATATTTTGATCAAATTTGGAAAATGTTTTTATTTCTTACTAACTATTAACATTTTACAAAAAAAAGTTTTACCCTCCCTGATGCAGCAAACCTAAGTACCTGTTAAAATAATTCTATTTAAATAGGAAATAAATGTTAAATTTTTAAGTAGACATTTTAGTGTAAATCCAATCAGACATAAGGAAATTCGCTTAGTCTGCAGGTTTGCTGCGGCGGGGGTATTTTTACATTACAATGAGCTAGTTATTGATAATATACATTTGCAAACACGTTGAAATTTGTATTTTTTTGTTGATAGTGCCAGACACTGGGGCAAAGGGCGTGAGCAGCATGGAGTGACACAAGCCTAACAGTAACGGTATTGCGGGACCCTGCGCTCACGACAGTAGTCAACATGTTGTACATGTTCAACGTCGACGTTGGGACCATGATGACCTTCGATATCAACTTGGGGATGGAACTGTGAGTAGTTTTATATAATGTTGTGCCATTATAGCAGTAGACATCCAATGCTCAATAGTAAAAAAACAGCTGAATTAATTGAAAATTGAAAAACAATAGTAGCATATTAAATTAAAAATCTTGCAACTAAAAAAAACTATTAGAAAAAATTGTATGTTGTCCTGAAAAATTGTACTTATTATGCAAGTTAATTATAATTAGTTAATCAAGCAGGCCTATAAATCAATATCATATTTTGCTGTGCATAAATTGTTTGGCATTTTTCTGGCATAAAGCTTTATGCTTTAGAGGACAATTGTTAGTGCTGTATTGACTTGTACCACACCTTCTCATGCTATGTTGACAGTGTGTCCGTCCTTCAAGAACACATAGCGAAGGAGCACAAGATCCCCGTTGACATGCAAGTACTGCTCGTGAGTGGGGGGATCACGTTGCCGCCCAACCAGCGAGTGTGCCACTTCTCCGCAGGCACTGACACCAACCCGATCTTCTTATACAACAAGCAGTTCTACCACCACCCCAGTCCTGAGGCACCGCAGGAGCTTCTCTCGTTTGATGCAGGACCAGGTATATTTTGTGGAAGAATTGATAGAAACTAGGGCAGTTACAAAAATAATGATCAAATTTTGAAGTTTGAAAAAAAGACTGAAAGACCGTTTGAGAATTATTATTTTTCTTAATTTCACTAACGTTATTCCCCCTTTGGAACAGAGCTTTTGCATCCTCTATTTCACACCATCTAGAAAGATTTTACCTTTTTGCAGGACATTTTTCTCTAATGATAATAGGTACTAACTTTTAATAATTTATTTTGAATAACATTAAAACACAAAAATCCATGCTTACTATATACAAAATTGAATAATGACATAAGATTATAATTAAGACAATAGCACACATCTCTATGTGCATATTTTGAGCTTGATTCAAAAATGCAAGGAAAGCCAAGAATGGAGTGAGATGATCAGTGTAGCTTTTTTTTTCAAAGATCATCTGGGCTAAGACAATTAAAAGCCCAAAGATCAAGACATCTGGGCCCAGTTTCAAACCATGAAAAAGGCACAGATTTTTCTCAGGATTGAAACTGCAACTTACAATGTTTAGGCTCTTTTTAACAAACGAATATTGAGGCAATGGTTGCTGACCTTTTTATGTGTGTACAGAACACCCAGACATGAAGGCAGAGGTAGACACCAGCCTAGTGTTGCCTGACACCATCAACACTGTGGTGGTCCGATCTCATCTGGCGCAGAGGTTCTGTGAGATGGCTCGGGATGAGATGAGAGCTTGCGAACGTCTGGTGCACGAACAACATCTCATGCATCAAGGTGGGTACAGTAGACCTTCTCTATCCTCACATTAGTTACTGAATTTCTATTTATCAATTTTGTAATCTGAAGTGTATGATTTTCAACCTTGAAGTGACATGGATTAGAATCGAAAAACCCTTAATTTTGTGACATAAACTTTGGCCAACATTCATCTACAATTTCAGGTAAATAGATCCTGTGGTTTTTCACAATCAAACAACAAACAGACCGACATTACAATGTGTATAGATTAGTATTGGTTTTACTTATCTGTTTTACTTGTTTAGTGGGACTTTTTATCATGACGTTTTGTATTTATTTATATTTCTCAATGTTAAGGATATGCTGCAGTCATCGCCAACATGGACGACACGATCCCAACTGTGAAAGCCAACATGGATAATTTTGTCAGCTACTTTCAAGAGTTTTTAGAGAGCAAACAACACTACTATCAGCTATCAGAGACGTACGTGTTTATTGTTACTCATTTTCTATGTTTAGATCAACGTACAATGAAGCATTATTATATTTTATTTCTACAGTTTAACTGTTTAAAACAATGAGCGATTCATACATTTAAACACTTTATTCTTTGTTATTACATTTAGAACTAAAGATAAAACCTTATATCTAGATAAATTATAAAGATAAATTATATATCTAGAACTAAAGATAAAACCGGCCATTACAAACTTTCTAATCTACTGATTTTAATTGCATTAAAGCTTTAGGTGTATATAATATAATGTCTATAATCTAATAATTTAATTTGACTCCTTCTATGTAAGTATAATAAAAAGAGAGTAAAAAACTATTTATAATTTTTATTTTACTAACATGATTTTTCATTACAATTTTAATTTCTATTTATGTCTTTAGTAGCTATGTTTATTATTTTATTAAGCAATCTAGGCCAATGTTGCTGCTGGTTACATTTATAAAAAAATATTTTTTATATTTTTTGTTATTTTTTTAAGTTATTTTTTTGTTGGCTTACTAAAAAATAAAAAGTTATGAAACTTTGAATAACTTATCATATTTTACTCATAACTTATGCTATGATGGGAAGTAAACCATCTTGGTTTAATTGGCAGTCTCTCTAATAACAAAGATTTATTTTGAGACAGTATGTTCTCAATAAAATCAAACTCGTACATTTCAGGTCCTCTGTCTCATCGGAGACAGCCGATTGGAGGGTTTCTAGGCAAAATTTGCCTTGGATTGGTAAAAACAGCCCATGTGAAGTTTAGATTATCTATATCTTGATTGGTCTGCGGTCAGGTGTTATTGCCTAAACTCTTGTTGCAGAGTGGGGGAAGTAGCGCAGACGCTAGCCACCATCCCTCTGATGCCTTCCCTGGTAGATCTAGCAGTGCAGGACCCTCTGGCCAACGTAAGCAGTTGTCAGGAACTGTCTCAACGCAAGAACAACGTGTCACTGCTGGACTGGCTACACCTCCGCAACTCCAACGACAGCTTCCACAAGCTCTCTCAGATGTGCTCCAAGGGCATACAACAGGTGAAATAACACACATAATATCCTTGATACTGCATTAGCTTTCAGACCTACTTTACTCATTGTGTGGTTGTTTTTGAAACTGTATGAAACATTCAAGAATAACAGTTTTAAAGCAATTGTTGAAAAAATGTTGATCTAGTGTTCAGAGCAGTGTTTCCCAACCTTTTTCCGTTCAGGGCACACTAACTAGAACACGTTTGTAGTCACGGCACACTTTTCTACAAAAATATTGTGACAAAAATATCATGACCACAGTCGTGTCCGCCGTGCTACCTGCGTCAGTGTGTTCCTTATAAATGTGGCTGGCTACCTTCATTAAATGTATTTTGTATTAAAAATGTGTGAACTTTATGTTTAATGTTGAATGTAATTTTTAATGTTGAACTTTATGCTTAATTAACAAGATGACGTGTATTTGAATCTTATAACGAAGGCTTCTATCAGATTTATGGACCAATCAATTTGATGACATGGGTTTGAAAATGGGTTATTTATGACCCGAAACTAGTCACCCTTGACTATTTTAAGGACTGGACACGGAATAAAAAGGTACGGAACCTATCATATCATTCGTACATCAGTCCCGGTGGCAATAATGTTCGAAATATCAAGGGATGAGAAGTACTTTTTTATATTTCCTTCAAACAGACGCAGACTTTTCAAAATTGGAAACATGGATTCAACACTGACAAGTAATTCTACACAAAAGATTGTGTTCTCATGAACGCGCAACCGCACTTAAAGCACCTCTATTACGACATCAAAAGTTTTTTAACTACTTCAAATTTCGCGGCACACCTACAGAGGCCTACCGGCACACTGGTTGGGAAACACTGGTTCAGAGAAAGGAATGTAGACCATTAAGTTCCAGTCTTACTTAGTAATGCTTAAATTAAGACATCAAACAAAAGAAAATAAATCAAACTCGTATCATTCGTTGCTAGAAGTGCCTTGTAATTTATATGGTGATGACTATGATTAAAATTAGAATTTGGTAAAAGAAGCCGTAATATAATTTGAGTTACCAATTACTACCCAAATCCGTACAATAAAAATCTGTTTGCTGCTGGAATTTTTAAATGCAAAAAATGCACTGAATTAAATCATACACTGGTTCTTTTGTTTTGGTAATTATTTTGTTTTTTGTTTGGAAACTACATGTTGTGAAAATATTCTTCTTAAGAAGGCCTAGATAATTTGATGCTGAAGTTAAAAAATCTAGTAGACTATTATTTTATGCATTTTCAACAGGTAAACTCAGTGCTTATTAAATTAATCACTTAATATTTGCTCAAGCAAAGCTTGGTTAATGTTTTAGCACAACGAAGATATAGTGAGTTCACTGCAAGCATTGTTGAGTCACGCGGTGACACAGTCACAGGATGAGAACATGCGCAACATCGGTGGACTGTCAGAGAGGTTCTCTGGGCTGGAGCGACTACTGAGGGAGATACGCAGCTGTGTTCAGGAGCAGGGCGACTTGGCTCAGGTATTTAGCATGAAATAAGATTTAGGGTGAAGTACAGCATTGGCGTGAATTAGAAAGTTGTAATGAGAGAAAATTATACAATTTCAATCACTTCAATTTTGGTTGTAGGGTACAGGATAAGTAATGCAAATTGACTGGTTTTAATGGTTAATTAATGTGAGACTGGTTGTCAAAAGGTTAAGAGATTATGAGACTTAGACTTTAGGCACAAATCCTGATCATTTCCAGGAGACAAATATAAAACTATATCATCTTTTATGTCAATTCATAATTCAACTGTCATAGTAACAAAATCTAAGGGAGAAAATATATCTTGTAGGAACAGGAAATAAAAGTGGAGTGGTCAATATAGATCAAGCCTACTTTCAGTATCAACAAATCAACGGTTATTTAGCTTTTATAGGTAGCTAAAGTTCCATTTGGTTGCAGGCTTTGCAGCAGAACTCTACCCGCGCCAGCAACCTAGGTGACGCCAGTATACTGCCAGACCTGTGCGCCAGTCACCGTCGCCAGTTGCTGGTGATGCAGACCAACCACAGGAAGATACGAGACATCCGGCGACGCATAGTGGCGGCCAAGACTGAGCTCATACAGAACATCTACATGAGAATGAAGTAGGTCCAGTCACAATATAGTATTGCAGATAATAGACATTAGACAGTACAGGTGTCATAAGATGTTAAAAGTACCTTAAGTTGTTAGTTATTCGAAAATTCCTTGAAAACTTGAAAATCGTAATAGATAGTACAGAACAACACAAATAGCTGTGACTGAAATAATATTTAACCTAGTTCCTACTGTCAACCCATTTCGTACAAGTAAAAACAAGTATGACTGATCAACTTGTGTTTCAGGTGGGTTAATGGAGTAGAGACGGAGATTGCTCATGTGTTTGAACGGACTCAGATGTACATGAACAGTCTGAAGGTGTTAAAGGAACAGCTGACCATCCTGCAGCAGACGCACAACATTCCCCACCTCTACCTGACAGCTGTGGCGGAGGTGGTCAGACGGAGGACATTCTCTCACGCCTTCCTCATGGTAAGTGACTACAGTAACAGTATAGATGTAAGCTATAATGAATTAGTATGTGTACAAGCAGCAATGCATCAATAAGAGGGTGAAATTTTAAAGTTTGTTTTTGTTAGATTGTTGTAGGTTTCATTCACTATAATTTCAAAATTTGTTATTAGAACCTCGTCAAATATGACACTGATGAGACGACACATACAAGCACAATCCCAATTCAGCTAGTTTTGAGTGATTATTATGATGAATTAAATTTAGGCTCTGACATGATACTGTAACTATAATTAAATGACTTTCTATACAGGCTCACTTACATACTTTAATAAGGAGTTGTCATCAACATATGATTTCTTAACACACATGGTTTATGTTATTGTTTCTAATGTTTATGTTTGTGTTTATATATTTTTCATTCAGTTAAAATAGTTGAATAAAATGGGTTGTACATTTTCTTGTATCTTGTTATTATATAATTTAAGGACTTGATAACTGGCGACGAGGAAACCCAAAATGGAGTCAACTGGCATTACAAGTTACAAAAGGATTAGAAAATCAATCAAGGCACAATTTACTAAATTAACAAACAAGCTGAACAATCACGAAATTGATCCTGGGCAAGTTGACGAACGTCTAGAACTTCTGGACTCAACATGGACTAAATTTCTTGAAGTACAAGAGAACATAGAACTAATAATAAACGACACAGACCTGGATGAAGAAGTAAATTACAAGATGGACATTGAAGAAGTATTCATTAAGTTGAAGATTATGTTGAGGCAGTTGAAACCTATTTCACTTTCGAATTCAACTCAAGAAATCAATGGTAATGCAAGCAACTCTACTGGCAATACAGCTTCAACATTCCATATTTCATTTGTACCTTACAGTGAAGATGAATCTTTTGACAATTTTACAAAAAGACTTGAAGTATTTATGCACCTGAAACACATATCAGACGAAACTACAAAGACATTCACCCTACTTAATGCCCTACCTCCTACGTTACATCAAAAGCTCTACAACATTTGTACACCTGAAACGCCACTTCAGAAAGATTATGATGACCTTATAGCTTTACTAAAGCAATACTTGGATCCTCAACCAAGCGTTTGGGCACGGCAACATAATTTTATAGTACGAGAGCAAATGGTAGGTGAATCCGTTACAGATTTTACAGTTGAACTAAAGAAACTTGTAACTCCTTGTGAATTCAAATGTTCTTGTGGAAAATCTACAGCTGAAACTATGCTACGTTTACAGTTCATTAGGGGATTGCGAGACGCTGAGATAAGAACGAAACTACTACAAGTAGAATCAGACAAGACCTTCCAGGAAGTCATAAATACTGCTAAGATAATGGAACTATCTAAAACTGAAAATACAATGATTACATCTTCACAAAATAAAGCCGAAATCAATCAAGTGATCTCAAAGCCTACTAATAAACAATTCAATACAAACAGTGAAATGAGAACTAAATGTACAGGACACAACAACAGTTCATTCACATTCCAATCACTTAAGGGGAAGTGTTACAGATGCGGTGACGAAAAGCATAAAGCTAACAAATGTAAATTTACTGAACACTGGTGTAGAAAATGTGGAAAGATGGGTCACATCGCTCGAGTGTGTCTGAGCGAGAATTCCATGGCAAAATTTAAGAACTTGGGAAACACATGTCAAGCTGATGTCTTAGTTGAAGAAGATGAGTCTTATGAAATGAACTTAATAACTTCAAAAAACTCAGATAAGTTTAATTTGAAGGTGAACATTGAGGGAAATGAAATTACAATGGAACTAGATACTGGAGCCGCATTGAGCACCATATCTTACAAGGATTACATGAATCTAGGATTGAACAAATCCATTCACAAAACGAAAGTGGAACTTCGTACTTATACTGGGGAGGTTTTCGAGCCTGTTGGATATGTATTTGTGAAATGCACGTACAAAAATCACGATTTCATTGGTAAACTATACGTGATCAACCGGAATGTCGATCCTATCTTTGGACGTGATTGGATAAGGGAAGTTAAACTAGATTGGGCTGACCTTAGGAGTATTACAAGTTCCCACATGCATGCAGATATCGATAGACTGATTGAGAATTACAAGGATGTATTTGATCAAAATATTGGTGTTATTCCTGAGGTAGAAGGTCATATACAACTACTTGAAGATGCCAAACCGGTTTACATGAAACCTCGTTTAGTGCCATATGCTTTAAGACCTAAAGTTGAAGAAGAACTGGACAGATTGGAAAAAATAGGAATCATCTCGAAGGTCGAACAAAAAAAATTGGGGAACTCCAATTGTTCCAGTCGTGAAACCCAGCGGCAAGATCAGAATATGTGCAGATTTCAAAGTGACCTTAAATAAACAAATTAAGGACATCAAATACTCTATTCCACGTATAGAGGACATTTTTGCAAAAATGAGTGGTGGTAAGTACTTTTGTACACTAGACATTAGTAACGCTTATTTACACATGGCAATGGACCAAGAAAGTGCGCTACTTCAAACAATCAGTACACATAAAGGACAATATAAGGTAAATCGACTCATGTTCGGAATCAAGACGGCTCCGGCTCTATGGCAAGGGTTTATGGACAAAATACTTTCTGGAATTGATGGTGTTCAGTGTTTTTTTGACGATATTATTATTCAAGGTTCGACTGAGTCTGAGGCCCTAACAAGGCTAGAAAGTGTTTTGAAAGTCATCAGGAGACACAACCTCAAAATATATAAACACAAACATAAACATTAGAAACAATAACATAAACCATGTGTGTTAAGAAATCATATGTTGATGACAACTCCTTATTAATCCTCCCCCTCAAATTTACACGGCCGAATGTGGTTAATGTGCCTTCTCCAAACCTGCCCATTGTCCATCTCGATTTGATAATGCACCAATCCTTCTCTCCTTCTTACGTTTCCAAATTTCCACTTTCCGTCTTTTCCGAAATTACGCACCTGAACCCTACAAGGAAAAGTACTCAATGAACTTCATCTAGGACACTTAGGAGTTGTGAAAATGAAAAATCTTGCAAGAAGTTTTTGTTACTGGAGACACATTGACCGTAACATAGAAGATCTAGCAAAGTCTTGTCGTCCATGCTGTTTGAAGCAGAATCTTCCTGAAAAAGTAGATGTCCATCCTTGGCTGGTTCCATCAGGACCTTGGCAACGAATACACATCGACTTTGCAGGTCCAATTTATGGGCAATACCTTTTTGTTATCGTTGATGCCTATTCAAAGTGGGTTGAAGTCATACCAACCAAAACTACAACATCTAATTGGTGCATTCAACAGCTCAGAAAACTCTTCTCCACCTTTGGTTACCCGTTCACGTTAGTCTCTGACAATGGCCCTAACTTCACATCATCTATTTTCAACCAATTTCTACAAGCTTGTGGCGTCACACACAAATTCTCTGCCCCCTATCACCCTGCAACCAACGGACAGGCAGAGAGATTTGTTCAGACTGTAAAGAAACAGTTAATAGCAATGGAGAATGATGGAGGAGATTTGCACTTCAAAATAAATCACATCCTAATGTCACTAAGAAATGCCACAAATGCTACAGGGTCCTCGGCATATGAACTTATGTTTGGGAGACGAATAAGGACAAGGCTGGATCTTATGAAGAAACCCCAAGATCACACAGAAATGCCCGACGGATGTACTAAAATCAAAAGAGAGTTTCGGGTGGGGGACAGGGTTCAGGTGCGTAATTTCGGAAAAGACGGAAAGTGGAAATTTGGAAACGTAAGAAGGAGAGAAGGATTGGTGCATTATCAAATCGAGATGGACAATGGGCAGGTTTGGAGAAGGCACATTAACCACATTCGGCCGTGTAAATTTGAGGGGGAGGATTAATAAGGAGTTGTCATCAACATATGATTTCTTAACACACATAGTTTATGTTATTGTTTCTAATGTTTATGTTTGTGTTTATATATTTTTCATTCAGTTAAAATAGTTGAATAAAATGGGTTGTACATTTTCTTGTATCTTGTTATTATATAATTTAAGGACTTGATATACTTGTTTTTCTAAAGTTAGATTCAACTTTTATTAATTTGGTTCAAAGAGTTTTTTAAGTAGAATAAATAGCAGCATTAAAGTTAAAAATCTATTGATTAAATTGTTGATTGTCTTCATTAACAGTGAAGGTACACAATGCAGTAATATTTTTGGTACCAGTATTGATGCAGTGTTTGGCTAGCTGTTGTGATGAGCCGTTGTGTTACAGTGGGCCAACGACCTCGCCTGTCAGCTGTGTGCAGTCCACTCTGAGGAAGTGGCCCGCAGACAGAACTTTCAGTCTCAGTTTGACGGCCACATGCTCAACACACTGTTTCCAGGACTAGAGGACAGCCCACCTCCCTTCGCCACTCAAGCCCCCGAGTCTTTTGACACTAAACTGCCCAAGGTGAGATTGAAATATATAAATTAATAAATAACAATACAACAGAACTTGCATATTTTCAAACACCAAGGGACCGACAAACAAATTCAAATAAGATAAAATAGTTAATACAAATATTAAAAGTCAAATAGAGATATACTTTGAATTTATATAAGTTTGTCAGTGTCTTCATCATGTCAAACACTAGTGTTCATACATTAATGTAAAAAAATATTTTAAAATCATTAACCTTTTTTTCAGATTACCATAGAAGATTTAGAACTGTTAAAAGAGAAAGTAGCAGATTATGCCTTGACAGTGTCTATGCCAGACCTCAATGCCATTACTCAGTTTTTTGCTTCAAGATCAATAACAAATCCTATGAAACCTAAGGAAGTTGAAAGATTGGTAAGTTTATTATGTTTGAGATATTTTGTTTTTCTTAGGTGAATGCTCATAAGATGTACGTATATGTTTTTGTACTGATTTTTAATTTGCTAATGAAATTCCTAATACATGCACACAATTTTGTGTTGTTTGGTTGAAATATTGCAGTGTAGGGAAGTAAAATGAGTACAGGAAAGTAAGTAAATGCATGAATCAGCTACTTTGCGTGTTAATCAGTGCAAGAAACAACGCTTTGTCAGATAACTATAGAAAAAATCCTTCCCATACCCAAGCTTAAAAATATTGTTCTTAAACAACTGGTAATCCCCCAGGTAGGCCCTAACATAAATGTTGTAATTATAGCTCATATTAAGATTTAAAAAATAGTAGTACAGGAGACTCTCGCTCATTCGAATCGGCCTTGTCTGGACTCCCGCTAGTCCTTACTGACATGTGATATTGATCGCTTGTGTGGACAACATTTTATTTGTATTATTTTAGGGTTAATTTCATGATTTGTGATGTACTTTTTGGTTTTATAACCAGGGAACGAGTTATATTTTATGATTAGATTGTTTTATTTGGTCAAACAAGGTTTTAAATGACTGAAATAAAAAGAAACAAATTGTTAACAAAACACGACCTCTACAAATAGACAACCAGTGAACCATAGTGCACCGGACACAACAAAAAAATTGTCTTCAGCTGATCCATAAGGTTAAGAAAGCTATTTAGGGAGTATGTTTTATCCATGGGATAGCTTATGCAAATGCTTCAGCTGATCCATAAGGTAAAAAAATACAGGGTGTTTTTTTTTAAGTGTGGGATGAAGTGTGGGACCATTGGGATCTCAGTAACTAATGATTTTACAGCAAACTTTAAATGGGAACATTCCCTTGTTTTTAAAGAGGTTCAAAAATAATTAAATAAAATTTGTGTAAATAGCCGCCATTTTCCAATATGGCGGTCAATTTTGAAATTTCTTATGGAACATCCCAAGTCAAATAAGTCTTAAAATTGCATCCACATTCCATAAAGACCATAAAAATCGTTAAAAATATTAATTCTATTATTTAAAAAATGGCAGCCATTTTCCAAAATGGTGGCAAATTTGAAAAGTGGAAAACAGTGTATTTTATGGTCTTTATGGAATGTGGATGCAATTTTAAGACTTATTTGACTTATTTACTCTTCGCATTTTCGCTATAAACCTACTTGTTTAGGAGCTATATGATGTAAAATGTACACCGGAAGTCATTGTTCCATAGGCTGTAACTCCTAAACGAGTGGGTTTATCGAAAAAAATGTCAAGAATAAAAAAGTGTTTAAATTGCATGTTCTATCCTAAAAACATGATAACATATAGGGTGTTCCATAAGAAATTTCAAAGTTGACCGCCATATTGGAAAATGGCGGCCATTAAGGGAATGTTCCCCATTTAAAGTTTGTTGTAAAATCATTAGTTACTGAGATCCCAATAGTGGCACACTAAAAAAAAACACCCTGTATACTTAGGGAGTATGTTTTATCCATGGTATAACTTATGCAAATGCTCTATGTAGCTAAAGGAAGGTGGTAAAGGATTAAAAAATAAGAGCCTCCGTTGTGAGAAAATGCAAAAAAAATCACTTGTGACCCAGTAAAATCTTGATACTGAAGTGTTAAGACAAGTTGACTGTAATATAAAATTTGATTTTACTTGCATTTGTAATTTGTCTCAGGTTGAAGAGGTAACAGCAATGGAACAGCCGTCAGATAGTCAGGCAGGCGCAGGATATCTGGCGTCTGTGTTGCCAATCACTGATAGGTGAGTGGAACTCATACTCTCGTCCCCACGAGGTATTTAGGCTCACCAATTAACTACCAGCAATTTCTCCAATCATGAGTGATTTCTTCATCGGCTCACAACATTCTCGTGTTAGGCTATGTCTTCTTTCCACCTTTTCTTTCAATGAGCATGGGTTTTCTTTTGTTCAGGGTTTCCTTCCATGGTTGTTTTACCATCTCCCTTGCATATTACCTGTCCAGTTTATTTCAGAAATAATTGTTCTTCCCATAAACTTAGTGTTTAAAAACATCTCTCTTAGTCGCATATTATGCTTGATTTTCTTTTCTCATTTTGTGTATATTACATGTCAGCAGTAGGGGGAGGAATTGGTGTTTCTATATTCAACATTATGGTCATGTTTTTATTTGTAAATTATAAAACTAGGGCATCCACTTGCTAGACTTTAAAATGTGATATTTTATATTTATAGACATTTACGCTAAGGACTAGATGGATTTTTCAAAGTCCATTTGAATATCATCATCATGAACATCAGCATAATTTTTGTTTGTCACTTTGTATTGTTTGTCAATAGTGTCCCTTATTTATATATATATATATATCTAATATATAAAATTCTCGTGTCACAGTGTTTGTCTGCAAACTCCTCCGGAACGACTTCACCGATCGTTATGAAATTTGGTGTGTAAATTCTGTAGGTATGCGAATCGGACGTAAACTATTTCCCGTTCGAAATTATTAAAAGGGCTCCGCCCCAGTGGCTCTGGAGTTTCCCATGTTAACCTTATGAGAAATGGAATTAATGAATCTTAACAGCTGTTTCAATTAAACAAGCTGGTTCTGTTCTATGATGTTCAATAGCATTAAAGTTACAAGGATTACCAACAGGGTGCAGCACTATTATTTCTTTTACATTTTATGACAACAGCTAATTTGCAACCAAAAGGTGAGTGAGCGTAGCGAACGAACTTCAACCAGGACGTGATTGAGCGATGCGAACGAGATCATCTTGAATATTAAATGTAATGGTACTTTCTTTCCATCGGTCTGTCTTAGGGGAAACCTATAACTTAGGCGATACGAAGTTCGCCGGGTCAGCTAGTATATATATAAAAAAAAAAACAGGAGTAAAGATACCTTTACTACTGTCAGTAAACTAGAATTTTACACTATTTCAAATAAGTTTTTTTTTTATTTGGCTATTAGATTGACCAAAAAGTTTATCACTTGGTTATTCTCAAAAATAATTTTTTAATGAAAATAATTTGTGCAGGGGTTTTGAATCAGAAACTGACACTGAAGAGTTTGAAAAAGTTGGTCAAAGTCCAACAGATTTGGCTTTTGAGAAAAGAGGTGAAAATGATCAAGAGGTAAGTTTAACAGTAGTAGTATTAGGATAGGTAAGATTGAAATTTCTGACAGAACTTTGTCAAAATAAATGGTTAAGTAAATCATATATATCAGAAGATTTGTAGCTAATGAAGTAACAACCAAAGTAATGTTCATAAATTTAAGTGCTTAAAAAACTTGTTTTAGAGGTTCAAATTTTGTATTTTATTTACCAAAGAATACAATGAATGTAAATGTAACTTAGAAACTGTAAAAGACATTCTGGTTATGAGAATCTAATTAATTAGAAAACGATTTTACAATAAATAGTATGCTGTAGAAATAAAGGTTTCATTGAATGGATTGATTCATCTTTTATACAAAATCTTACTGATTTATGACAATAATGTGATGATAAATTATCTTCAAATGGGTAACATTACTTACATTAGCACAATCATAAGAATCTGGACAGTATTTTTTCTTTCTGAGCTTGGTTTACACTAAACAAAAAAGGATACAGAAAGAAAATGGACTGAACAGTCTGGTAAATGCTTTCTGTGTTATCAAAGAGAAGCTGCTACAGGAATCGGGACATTACACACACTGCTACGACACTCACGTCTACTGAATCCTCAAAAGAAAATTTTATCGACATTTGCTTGTCATGGTGTTTTTTTTTTGCCTCATGTCATGTCATTTCATTTCCCATCTAAGTTAGTTTTTAGTTTGAGATGCTTGGCTCAAGAACTTATTGGTTTTTCGTTCCTGCCTAGTGTAGCCAAACCTTAAGTACTAAACTTTGTTACTTTTGATGTTGTCAACCAGCAGAAGGCTGGGCGGTTGAGCAGAGCCAGGGAGGAGATGGAGAAGTCTATAGTGAACATCAGACACGACCTGAGCTCTCTCAAGGATTGGCTCAAGAGTGAACACGACCACGTACACAGCTTCCTACAACAGCTGACCACGGCGTACCACAACGACGTCCACTCCAAGACTCAGCTCATCTACCAACTCAGACAGGTCAGTGATAAGAAGAATGATTTATTGATTTATTCAAAATTTATTTGTGTGATTGTATAGGCTTAGCGCTCTTACAGCAGGTGTAGTTGTTAATTATTTATGTTTATTTTGATGATTTCTCTTAGGCATGTTTTGAATTTACGTTTTTAGCTTCTGCCACTATAAGAACTCTGCAGGTTCACTGGGCAAGTCACCCTGGTCTACACTCATTTGAAAGGCATTGTTGCAGTATTGTGGCCATTCTACCTCGTTCATTTTGTTGTAACAGTTGATTGATGGCACTAAATGGATCTTATTTCAGTCGGCTTAGTTTTGTTAAAACTCCTACTTAGCTCTTTATTTTGACTTCTTCCTTTTTTGCACTATTTTACTCGATTATTGAAAGCGTTGCCATTTTTTTTCTGTTCCATTAAATTTGCTCATACTTTTTTCTTTTTAGCATTGTGTGAACAGTAGGCTAATGTTTTGCACTAAGGATTATATTTTTTTTATTTAATATTTTGGTTACCTTCATCACTTACTTTAAATGTTACTTCCATAAAAATAAATAGTTGAGTCAATCAATAGATATTACTTATTTTATAAATTAACATTGTGTACCAAAAGCTACAGGTTTTGGCCAGTGTAGATAAAAGTAGTGAATGTATTATAGGAGGTGGCTGATCGGGAGGCAGAGCTGGGAGAGATGAGAGCCATGACAGAGGAGTTGCAGAAACGGCTGACATTGAGTCTGGAGACAGAGGCGAGGGAGAGGGAGAGGAGGGAGGAGGCGGAGGCCACCAGGGAGAGGGCAGTGAAGGAGGCTACGGAACAGGTCTGTAGAATGTCTTACAGGTCACTTGCCTTGTTAGACAGGACTGTTTTGACAACCGGATCTACAAAGAGTCATCGGACTCAGGCTGGAGGTTCAAAATTGTAGTCTGTGAGGGTTGTGTGTAAATTAACGTCATCAACAAGTTCCTGACGCAACCAAGCGAACTAGTTTTAAATTGGGCATCAATGAAAATCTTTACTTCATCCACTAATATTCTGACCATGTAGTATTACCACCCCATGTTTCAGCATGAGTTCTCAAAGTCAAAGGCATGTCAAGTATCAAGTATAATTTAAGTTTCAAATTGAAAACTCAAACTTCATGGTATTTCTTTAAAATATCTATTTTTTAAATAAAAAAACATTAATTATTAAAAAAAAAACTTTTGATTTGCTTATACAAAGCTGATTTACATACAGTGATTTTTTTCAATTTTGTAATTTACACTTAGATAAATTATTTTGATGAATTTTGTATAAAGCTTGATTGTTATCCCAGCTGGCTCATGATCACAAGATGGAGATGGAAGCAGTCAGGTCTCGGTTTCGCCTCATGGCCACTGCCTCAATGGAACGCAGCCCCTCTGAGCTCAGTCTGGAGAGAATGGACGTAAGTTGTCAAACTTTTTGTCATATTCATTTTTAATATGAAGTCACATAGTTTTAATACTACAGTAGAACTCCTTAGAATCCTTTTCCCAAAAGTTAGTGATACTTGTAGCTTTATATAGATGATATAAGTTAGGGTTTCAAAAATCTAGGATGGAGTAGATTTGTCAACACTCCAGTACCATAATGAACTTCCAAAGCTATATACTGAGATAAACATCTTTGAAATATTTTTTTTTATGTTGACACACAAATTAAATTTACGTAGCATTTTCTAAAAAAAACCAGAAAGGAAAAGTGAGAAAACGAATATCCTCCATACTTACATTGGGTTCCTGTACTAAGAACTACATAGTTTTTTGCTCTTAGTAACCAACCTCATGTTAGGCGTGATTGTCGTCGGTATGACTCCGCGGTCACGGCACGATCGTCGGTATGACTTGCGGTCTCGGCGGGATTGTCGGTATGACTCCGCTGTCACGGCGCGATCGTCGAGATGACTTCGCTTCCTGCGTTCGTGGAACTATCATGAACATCTCTCGCGATAGCAGCGTCACCGTCAGTCGTGAAGCGGCAAAATCGCCGACGATCGGATCAAATCCCGTCCCGAACAATTCCCGATTTAAATGTAATTCCGTCCCGAAAATCGGGAATATTTACCCGTCCATCCCTACAAAAAACGATGACGATGTTACAGTGACGTTGGGAGACGATGATGGTTTAAACAGGATCGCGAGACAGGTTTTTGATTTTGCTGCGATGGCGGCTTCTGCTTTCTTTAATAACGATTATTATTACTGCGGTTTTAAATGATTTTTGTAATCAATTCGCATAATCGGTGATTCGAATAGTTAGAGTTTGGATAGTTGGAGTTCTATTGTATTAGGTTATTTCACGTCTTTCGTTTGTCCAAAAAAGTTGTACACAAACAAATAAGTGACAAGGCGTGTCAGTTTTTATGAGTAATTTTTACCTTTAAAATTTCTATTAATATCTATTTAACTCAATACAACTTCTTAAAGCTTTGTCTGACATGTTCTGTAGACTGGCAGTCAAGTTTGGATCTACTACACTTAAGCGGTTGATAAGTGATGTTAATGTGGTATACTGTTAATTTGATCAATGATTTGGTTTGAAATTGTGGGTATGTGTCAATTATTTGTGAGTTACACCTCTAATAAGGAAGGGATTTTGCCTATCCTTACCACCTACAACAAAAAAAGGTGTTTGCACACCTTTGTACAGTTTACAAGAAAAAAAAACATTTTTCATCGTTAATTATTTTCTGTTGATACAAAAGTGGAGAATTGGTAAGCTGGTTTACTACTAGGCTATACGTAGCTCCTGAGTTATCAGTAGAATATCTATACAAGCTGGTACGTGTTATGCAGCAGAAGGATAGTGTGGGTGAAGAGGTGATGGCGCAAGTGAGAGCTGAGCTGACACAGGAGAAAGAGAGAGCTGTGGAGGAGGAGCGGCAACGCTGGCAGTCACGGCTTGACCACGAGATGCACCAGCTCAAGATACGAGCGGACGCTGAGAAACAGGTCAGTCTATCACCTCAGAGTTGTCAAAGATAAAGAAGATCAGAGTATTCAACTTTATCAGTAATGCACAACAGCGCACACTGTCCATGTTTTTTGTACGATTTTTATAAAAAAAAACATTCTACAACCTTAACGTGGGAATGAAATATCTAGTTCTATTCTAGTCAAAGCTTGTAGCCTTTTTCTTTGTGTGGTAGCGTAAACGTCAACTCCATTAACGTAGTTGCATTAAACTATTTAAACTTCACCACTGTCCCAGTATAGCGATTAATATTTGTCCGGAATTGGCCAATTAACTTAAAGTTTCTGTGCATGACAAAAGCTTAATTAGGCTTACCTTCAAACAAGGCTTTCTCGGGACTACTTAGTCCACAGTGTCATGTCTTGGATTTGCCGTTTTTTGCTTCTGTAAGTTGCCGTCAGTGACCATGGCTGGAGTAACATCAGTTGTCGATTCTCTTTGCTCTCTTCCTTCAAGAGACTTAAAACTACTCACTTGACCAGCGTAGGAGATGCCTCAAGCACACATGGCAGTGTTTACATGGAGGGAAACATCACAGTCTTCTTCTATTGAGCAAATAATGCCCAGCGACAACTGTGGTTTATAGAAGGCAGTTCTTGACCATCATGGGCTTGTTCTTGTCTCGGTCAACCTTTATTGTAAAGGTGATTTGAGAAAAAAAAACTGTAGATTCGAGATGCAAAGAAAAAATGCTAAATTTTCCCTCTTAGATGCCTTCTTCATAATGCAGTTTATTTTTAAGCAACTAAATGGTTAAATGAAAGTAGAAGTGCAATTTGGATTAAAGCCTTACTATAGTAATAAAAATTTTGCAATCGCTACTTGAAGAAATAATGTTGACTCATATTGCCATAAACCTCACTAAATAGTAAATACCACACTTAGCTATAAATATTAGTTATAGTTAACTACCTCCAGCAAATTGAGTTTTATTTAGTAAGCAATATTAATTTTAATTTGTCTCCTACTCTTCCTTTTTGTATTACAGTTTGTTATATACAAATTAATAGTTGTGAAAGGAACAAATTTAATAGTTTAGGTTTATACAAATATTTACCACTTGTACCAAGAGCGAATGCTGGTTTACAGGTTTACTACTTTTCTCCAAATAAATTTTATCACCTTGAAAAATTGATAGAATCGTTGAATCAGAATCATATATGTATTAATAACAATACTCGTAAAATAGTTCAAAATCAGCAACCCTGTCATAGATTGATTATCTTTGATGCCCTTTTCTTTGCATGCATTTAAAAAAGTTGTTTGTACCAATTTTGACAACTTTGTCTCTTGCTATTGATTGAGGCTCATGTACTATTTTATCAAATAACAACATGTAGTTGCTTTGCTCCTTAAATTATGATAGAAAACTATGCCTTTTGTAAAATAACTCATATGAAAGGAAATTATTGCTAGTGAAAAGGTTTTGTAATATGTCTTTCTCTTCATGTTGTAGGCCTGCTTTAAAATGCATGCATCATTGGTTCTATAAAACCAGCTATTGTTTAGAATCGGAAGTTGTGATTCCTTTCTGCATTGCTTTGTAAACTCTTGAACATTTTTTGTAACCATTATTTTATTCTTTAGTTCCATCCCTTTATTTATACATCACAATCTTGGCCTAGAGCCTTAAAAAACAAAATGACAGGCTTACCTAAATGGGAAGGAGTCCACTCTAGAACAATAAACACAACACTTAACACAAAACACAAAGATAGTACATTTACTCCCTCCAAGAGTTTGGTGTTTTGTGTTGTAGCTGTTTGGTTTGTGTTTGTACCATAATAGTGTTTGTTCTGTTAAGCCTGCATGTATGCACTGCTTGTCCATGTAACACTGTTGGTGTTGTTGTTCCTAGGAAGCTGTTACTCTGGTGTTCGTTGTGGGTGTTGGTGTTGCGATGTTTATCGCTTTGTATTTCTACCCCTAACTGTGCATACGGACTGTAACTTGCGTATGGTAACAATAGTCGTAGTCTAATAGCATGACAAGTATGATTGCTCAGTTTAATCAAACTTATTGTTTTGGTTTGTAAGATTTATTTTATGCCATTTAAATTATATGACTGTAGAACCTCTTTAAGCCGTCACCTTTAAAAAATTTAACATAATTGGAACAAATTGAAATGGAAAGCAGGATTAAAATGATTTAGAATACTGTAAAATAAATCATATCTGGCTTTTAATTGACTTCTTTGTTGTAAAAATACACAAGTGGTCAAAATAAACAGTACATCTCAACGTTAACCTTATGGAAATAACGCAGTGTGATGTATAAATGGAAACTTCAAGGGCAGAGAGCGCAATTCTCTAAATGCATAACTTTGCGTAATAAAATAGCCCTATACTTTGATTGCCGGCTGGACCTTGTACCTACCTGCTAGGGATCCGACTCACGCACACACACTCATCTCCGTCCTAATTTTCTGAAAGCCTCGATCCCCTTCACTACATAATACAGTGGAGTCCCGATAATCCGAACTTCAGTAATCCGAAAGTCTGCTTAATCCAAAACCAAAAAATATACCGTATTTTTTATAAAAAAAAAAAAATATTTTTTTTTATTAAACTTTTAACACAGTTAGCTGTACCTCGTCAAAGTATTCTGTAGCGGCTGGGCGAGATAGACTTTTTTTGTAGAGTATTTTAGTAAATATTTCACCATTTTTATTATTACTGTAACATTTTTCATTTTCGTCCGCCAAATCACAAATGGATTTTATTAAGTGATAATGCTGCAGCCACTAGGTCTAGCCTTAAGTAATGTGAAAAACAATCCCGGGCTCGTGCCTGCGTCCTAAGACAAAAAACAAAAATTTCAAGAAAAACAAAAAAACTTTTAATCCGAAATGGGCCCGTTCCCAACCATTTCGGACTAATGGGACTCTACTGTATATACATAGAAAGAAATATAACACCTGTTGTATGATACATCAAAATTGCTTTTCATTTTTAAGTTCAATATACAGTAAAACTATGTTAATTGTTTTGTTTTATTCCATGAGAAATGAGTCCAACACAAAATGATAATGACATAAAAAGGTTAACAGAATAGGGATGATCAGGAGCGTAAATTCTCGATTTGTTAGGAAACATATATATTGTTCAATATAATTTTACTCAACTGTACACAAAATCATTGATGGATTTGATAACGAAGGTAAAATTTAAAAGATTAATAATCTAATGTTTACAAGCCAGTGATGACTCGCACAGTAGGTTAAAGGTTAACGGTCTGTTCTAATTCTTTTCGGTGAGGTCTGCGTGTGTGTGAGCCCACACACTTTCAGCTAGCTAAACTCGATGAGCAATCAAAGGATAGTGTACCTACTTAATGAGTCCAGTTTCTTAATATTTCATGGTGTTGACACAAGCAACGAAAGATCTTTATTGTCAAACTATATTGAAAACCATTGTAATATGGCAGAGTATGTTGATAACAGTAGTTCAGTATATTTATAAATCTCATTTTAGTGTAATATTAATATTTAAATATTATTCAATTCGCCCGGGTTTGTTGTTAGCCTAGTCAATAGTGCTCATGATTTGTTAGTACTAAAGTCAGACAATTTTGTAAAATTGTTATTTTTTAACCTTTAAGATTATGTTGGTAGATCAGATAAAGGCTGACTATAAGAGGTTCTACTGTACATAAAATTGTTGTGATTTAGTTTGTGAAGTAAGGAAACAACTGTTCTGTTTTCTATTTAATTTCTTTTATGAGATTCATGTTTTTTACAAGCCCTATTTTAAGGCCTAGTCATACTTTGCTGGTTGCTTAACTATCATTCATTGTAAACAAATCTTTTTCTAACATGTTCATCTTAGTGCCAGTGATGGTTGTAAGTTGTAACTTATTTATATTAAACTATTTAAGAGCGATATAAAAATATTCGTAAACAGACCAGTGACACATATTTTCTCCCTGTTAGCTTCACTTCACAGGGGGCCGAAATTAATTGCGTTGACTGTTAGTGTGCATCATTATTATGGTGAATAGTGGTATTGGGTATAGTGTGATGAAAAATAGCGTTCATACCATGGACTGAAATGTTTATGCACCTCTCAATCGTATTAAGTTCTCGAATTCGTCTCAAACTTAAAAACCAATCTCAAGCCAGCAAAACCTCATTTTCGGTCCTAGGTATGAAATATACTATTATGTCTTTATCGCCTGCAAAGTTCCATCATTACATTGTTTACTACGCAAAAAGAATACAGGGTGTTTTTAAAAGAATGCCGGGATTTTTTTCCTTGATTTTTTTATTACAAGACTTGGCTTAAAAATTCATTTTTTAAACTGAAATGGTTGTCTAAAACACTCGTAAGCCATATTCATATTACTCGTACGTATATGGCCTCTAATTTTTTGGGAGATCTTAAGAAAACTGTTATATCCCTGGAGAACATATCTTTAAATAGTTCAACCCTAGGACTTAGCTGCTAATCCCCCCTGTTTAACTTGACATAAAATTTATATCCCATTGCCAGCTCCGTGAAATACCTAGTTAGTTAAAGAGCTAGTTAGTTGTTATTTGATCTTGAAGTTTTTGGCAACATTTCTTATGAGGCCATGCCTGTAAGTAAAGTGGTGAAGCCTTAGTATGCTATTTAATAATTTTATTTTAAAATCTACCTTTTGATGGCAAAAGAAGTATTTTATAATAGTCAGATTACATGATTGGTGCTTCTTTTACTTTTTTCCCATTGGTGACCAACAAACTGCAACCAGCCAGGTTTTGCTAGGCCTATTAGGAGGTATTTTTGTTTTGTTTCTTAAAAAAAATAATGGAATAAGACTCAACAGGTTGAAAGAGGCTCAGAAAATATTTGAATTTGTAAAAATTGTTTGAGGCAAACCATCTTTTTTGTAATTCAAACTAATAGGTAGCTTAGCTACCAATTCCGAGTAGCTTCAGTCTTCAGTTAGGATAGTGTTTTGCAATCGATAGTAATTAGATTTTAAACTTAAGAACTGACTTTTTGCACATGTTTTTTAGATCTGAGTGTTAACTCACTATACCAAAAAATTTCATTCATTTTTATAAAGTTTAAAACACTTTTTTACCCACCCCTGTTGCAGCAAACCTAAGTACTCGTTAAACTAATTCTATTTAAATAGGGAATAAATGTGATATTTTTAAGGAGGCATTTTAGTGTAAATCCAATCAGGCAAATTGAAATTCGCTGCGGCGGGGGTATCATACAGTTTACATAAGAATGGTTTTTTCCACAGATGCTGTAGACTAAATTTTAAGAAAGTGACATTTTAGTCTGATCAAGTGTCATATCATCTCGAGTGAATATAGGCTGTGTCAGATTACCATTAGGTTACGTAACGTGTAATGTCCTCTTGATTTACTATTTATTTACAACGGTGATATGTGATATTTATTTGTATTGTTGTTACTTTACTCGAATGGGTGTTGGTTTTCAATAGCACCAATTATTAAGATAAATACTTCAAGTGAAAAAAAATATTGAAGGACCTATGCTTACTCTTAAGTAATATGACTGTTTTGTGTTCTGTTATCTACATTGTTATGAACTTATGTAGCCTATAATACACTTAGAATCATCTCCTGGTCAGTTTGTGTTGAGATTTACTGTTTTTAAGTTTGTGTTTTATTCGCAGACCTATCCCAAAACTCTCTCACTGAGTCATATAAATGTTGCTTTTGGATATGCTAATGTATATACCAGAATTTTGGAGTCGTGCTGTCGCTGACTGGCGGACTAGGCTAGACGAGGGAGCGGTATAAGATAGAACTGATACCACTACACTGTTACTATCAGCTGATCTAATACAGTACAAGTGAAATTTATTCTTTGACAACCTCAGCAACAGCAGCGCTCATATATGCTGGTGTAGACACAAGAAAATTTAAACGCTACATTTTGATTAGCTTAGCGAGACTTCTGGGTTAGGATTCTGTGGTTTTATTGTTTATGCCGATCTCAAGATTACGTCAGCTGTTGTGATGTCACTGGGTTTATTACAAGCAATTGTTGTGAGTCTGTGCAATGTAAGTGACAATCATATTAACAAAACTTCTGCTATAAGAAATATTTATAGGTTTAGTATTATTATACTAAAAATTTATGCCACTTACTCATTTTTTAGGAAAAACCACTTTAAAGTGTGTATTATCTGAATTTATAGTGATCCAAAATGAGTACAGCAAGGTGGTTGAGTTAGCATGACTCCACTTAAGTAAATTGGTTTAAAATTCTCTTTGCTTCGATAGTGGTCAGCCCAATAATCACATCAGCTGACATTGTAGGCTATTATCTTACAACACAAAGTGTTGGACAGGTGTATAGTGAACTAAAAACCACAACGTTTGTATATTTTAGCAATGTATTTTATTTTTATATCATAAAAACCTATAAAAGATCAAGTGAAATCCATTTAGATTGCTAAGCAACTTATTAAGTGGTAAAAACCCATTTGATTAGATGTGAAGTTATAATCAAAATTATATTTTTTGGTATTGCCTATGATTATTTGTAGCATTGCAATATGATACAGTCTTAACTTAACAACCTCATAAGTTAGTTAACAATGCAAATGGTGGTTTTATAATTATTAACCCTCAGATTATCTTATACATGTTATACATTAATCACCGTAACAACTATAAATGATACTTTGCTCAAACTGTATAGTGTAACTTTAGTTTAATTTTTATTCAACCCCATTTATGTTGGTACTTGTACCATTCTATATAACATTGTAATGCAGTAGACTCCTTTTAAGATGACCCTACATAAATCTAACATAATAAAACCGTAACTTTATGCTATCTAAAATTGTGGGTAAACCGACCTTAACTCAAGAGCGTTAAGAGTTGTCTGTATTTACTACTTTCCTTCAAAGTTGAAGGTTGTTTATCTATTCCATACATTGATCTCTAGCGATTTTATGAAGCTTTGGGCTCTTTGACAAATTGTCCAAAATACTGTTGGCAACTAATTTGATTTCTTGTATCTTTTTAATTATGTTTTTGCATTTTAACAAAAAAAATTGTTATGGTTTTGCTACAATTCTTTTATATTCTTGTTTCTATACTTACTACTAAAACTGATTTTTTGAAATTGAAATTAAATTGAGCTGAAATCAGCAAAAGAAATATGCAATTACTCAGATTCCATCATATTGTGTATGTGTCAATGGTGTATGGGTTTACGTTTTACCCATAGTAATTATTTTTTCACTCTTACTACAAAGTCAGCATTATAAATTATTATGGATGGAATTAGTCTTATTTATTGGTGTAAAGTTATTTTTGTTATGTTATTTTTTTATGTTATTTTTTACAAGGGAAAGGTTATCTTATCCCATTATCTTCATCTTTTTATTTGTATCTACAAATGGATACTGAAAGGTGCAATAAATTGAGTGAAAACTTTGTCTAATTTTGTTAAACCTTTTTATGTGTGAAAAAATGTTTAAAAAACATTAAAAAATAAAATAATTTTGTCAAATTTTATTTTTAGCAATTTATTTTAGTTGAAATTCGGAACTTAACTATAAATTTTTCACAAAATAGTAATTTTTCATGTAAAACTTGAACTTCTAAATCTTTAAAAACAATTTTTATGTTATGATCTGTTAAAATTTGCAATGCTTCATTGTCTAATACTCAACAAGCATCAAATAAGTAAAAGTAAGGTTAAAAAGAATAAAAATACCAAATATAACTTTGACATACCGGTAATATTATGGTTTAAAGACGGTATTTAAGAAATCTTTGAATTATTTTCTTTTAAACTCAACAAGGTAATTATGAATCAATGATAAAAAGTGATGTCTCAGTCAATGAATATAATTATGAACAAATAATGCATTGCTTTTGCTATACCCTGAAATAATGTGGTTTGTAATTTTTTATTTTACTGGTACGGCGGTAGATGTATATAGAACAACTTTCTATTTCTACTTTTTACAAAGTTTCTTAATCGGTAAGCGTAATAGCTGCAAAGGTGAGATTCGTCTGAGTCTTATGCAAGGATTATTTTTCGTTTCACAAACATAAATACTTTACATATTCTATTTAATAATAATAACAAATTTTAGTCCCAAGGTGGTCATGTTGTCCAACTAGTGAAATCAGTTAATCCATTTTGTATGATCCTACTTAAACTTGATATGCATTCACAATGACTACCAAAAACAGTTTTTCTGTTTGTCAATATAGCACAAAACCAAACTATTTTGTGTTAACTAAAATAATTATTAAAACATCAAACTATTATACTTCAAGCGAACACACCATTTTTCTGAATCTGCATGAATCCATAGACATCACTCTTGTATTTATTGATAGAACTGCTGTCAAACAATCATGTGGATTCAAATATCTTTCTCCTGAAGTATATTCCAAATAATTAGAACAATGCAAACAAAACTTAAATTGTAGCATTTATACTTTTTCATTGAAATGGCGACCATACAAAGTAGGTATTTTTAGCCAAGTATGTATGGTGATGAGTGTAGGATGGGTGGCGCGATCTTGTAGTCTTGTTAGTGACTAAGGCCAATATATCCCTTAGACACAGCTGTTAATTAATTCCCCATACTAATGGCAACTAAGGAACCTAAAGTGGAATCCAAACCACATTTTTGCCTTGGTATTAACGAATTGGTCTAATTATCAGGATAGTACTGTGGATAGTCGTAGTACTCACTTGTGCGGACGTTAATTCACACCAGGGAGTATCACATCTACAGTGCATGTCCATTAATATCTACAATTCGATTATTAACTGATTATTGTGATAATTGCAATCATGGATCATTGCCGTTTTTATCATTACACATTATTAAATTATGGACAAACACTTTGATCTCTTGATGGGCTATGAAGAACTCAAGTAAGTATTTTAAGTATTTATTTTTTTAGAGGAGTGATCTTGGCTTTGGAACACATTTAGAAAATAGAGTCCAAGCAAGTTAAGAGGATACACCAATAATTAACCAGAAAAATTTCATTAATCACACACTCATTCTTCTTGATTCACATTTGGGTTAGAACTTAACTCGTGTGTACATAAGAAATGGCAATTTAATTAAATGTCTACTGCCTCACAAACATACAATGTAACCAACCAACATCAGTTAAAACATAGAGTAATTTATACAACCTATGTACACTAGAGCTTTACTGATCAAAAACATATTTAGTTATTTCTAATTACCAGTGAAATGTTTTCTATTTTGATTCATAAGATTCTGTGATTTTTTCAAATCTTAATGTGAATAAAGAGCTAGGTGTTGTTCAAATGCGGAGTCTTATTCATTAATTTTCTAAGAATGTTTCTTAATTGATGAGTTTCCTTGCAGATATGGTTCAACGAGGCGATGAGACGTGTTCTGGTAGAGAAGGATCGTCAGTTGGAGAACCTGAGAGTTCATAGTATCCACCTGGAGACTGAGTGTCAGAACCATAGAGACACTATCCACAGACTAACTGGCACCACTGGGTAAGTGCAGAACATTGAGTTGTTCATTAGGTTAACAAAGAAAGTTACAAAAGACTGAGCTGTTAACTTTAGAGCTACTCAGAGCGATTTAACTCGAGAGTAACATAACCAAGCTTCCAACAACTTTCTATCCGAGTATCACTCAATAAAACCGGATGAAAGCCGTACCTGTTATGTGGTGCATTGGTACATATTAAAAAATGCTACGTATGGGCTTTTAGTTCAGTGGCCAAGCTGTCAAAGCATGACAGGTGTTATGTAGAGTACACTCAGATGTTGATAAGCACTCAATTCTATGGTGTGATCCGGAGTGAATTCTTCTTGGCCAGGAGACATTGCTGGTAGAGAGAGGCTTTGAATCCTGTCAGGTGTGGTGAGAAAATTATAGCAACAACTTTGAAGCTTGGTGAGGTTAAGTTTTGATATTGCACACTCTGTGCGTGGCAGGTACACTTCCACATGGAGATGGGATAAGAATAAGAATAATAAGAATAAGAATCATTTATTCCATTGATCTTTTTACAAAGAAATAGGACACGTCATATACATTACAAAATAATCATCCAAATACAATCAAGTTTCTGATACATCCAAATATTATAAAAAGTACAATTAATTAGGTATAATAGCTTATTTGAATTAAAATTTACATCAAAATTACACTTGATAAAGTCACTTATGCTGTATTGCTGTATACATACATATTACCTGATGCTGATGTGGTGTGTTGTGTAGGTCCTTGACAAGCGAGGGCTCTCTGCTAGAGCGTGTGGAGGCTCTAGAGGCAGCCAAGGTGAAGCTAGAGGCAGAGCTGGCCGAGGCCCGAGGCTCCTCTCCTAACACATCTGTTACTCTCGCCTCCTCTGCCCCCACTCACCAAGACATGAGCACTTCCATCGCAGCTCTGTGTGACAGGTAAGACATGCTTATACACAAAGATTTCATCACAATTAGACTATCCTTTATGAAAAAAAATACCTAGTTCAGAGGTCTATATTTATTTTTGTTAGTTGTTTAGTTACAAGAGGTTTTACTGTATCTACCTGCTATAAGTATCCTATTTCCAAACTAACAATCGTCCATAGATGTTGTACTTTAAGTCGGAGTTACTAAATTTTATTCAAAGCCTAGCATGGCTGCAATAGAGTCTACATGCCAATGCTGCAGGCATCAAGGATAAGTAGTGTTATATGTGATTGTCTGCAGTTTGTAGCTTCTGAAGGCGAATAAAAATCAGCAAATCTTCTGGAGATCTTATATTTATCTACCACTCCTTACCTTACAAGTCTTAAGGGAGTTCTACCCGTAACCTGAATTTCAATTCAAGATGGCGGATTAAATGGATTGTAATATAGTTCGGTATTAAACATGCCTCTATTGTAAAAGCTCTCGACATTCTAAAACTAATTTGTATCCAATGATTGTGTGCTTTTTGTGCTCTTAACATATCAGAGCTTGCAATGGATGGAGACAAATTAATTCTTAACTATTATTGAGAAGTTAAAATCACATGTGAAAAAGAATAACTTACCTACGGATTTTCAAAATGATTTTGTAAACACTTAAAGAAACAATTACGAAGTTTCAGTTCATCAAGTGCATAGTTTTTATCTTTGTGAATATTTTACAGTTTATTTCAACTAGATAAACACTTTAATAATGAAATGGCACGAAGTTCTTTTTTGTAGGACCATGTTAACGTGGTAACAGCCGGCGGGTTGAACCCTCTTAAAAAAAGCATGTAGGAAAAAGTCAATGAACATAATGTGTTTTAGGTTTAACTTCATTAACTGTCATATGCTTTATATTTTTTTAGTGAGGCAGGATTAAGAGATGCTGCAACAAGTCCAGATCCTGTCAGGAAGACGCAGATAAAGGATAAACTGGTAAGCTATAGAGTTCCATGAATAGTGGATTTGGAGGAACACACTGAATTCCTGAAATAAAACATAACTAGTTGCTCTGCCCGTGCTTCGCTACGGGGTGAGAATGCAGAAAAGAATAATTTGGTTTTACTTTAAGATACTATAATATACTTTAAGGAACAGTTACAACACACTTACCAGGAAACATATAGGCAAAGGCTCAATCGTACTTATTGATTATTTAAATGAATCTATATATTAATGTATTACAGTATCATCATTTTATATAGTGTATATCATTTAAAATATATGCAAAAGTATAACCATAGACTAAGCAACACAAGTAGACTCCTCATCCCATTGTAAATTTTGAAGCTTGTTTTTGTGTCTAGTTCATGTACCTCCACACTGGTCACTGGGGTAGACGAAATTTTGTTTCTATTATTTTAGGGTTATTTTCATGATTTGTGCTTTACTATTTGGTTTTATATCAAGGAGACTAGTTATTGTTTATGATTATATAGTTTTATTTGGTTAAATGAGGTTTTAAATGACTGAAATAACAAGAAACAAATTGTAAACAAAACACAACCTCTACAGACTCTACGGACGTACAGAACTAACAATAAAATTGGCTTCAGCTGTTCCATAAGGATGACAAATCTACTAAGGGAGTATGTTTTATCTATGGTATAACTTATTGACCACACGGCACCACGATTACTAGAAAAATACCGGTATGGATCATAAACATCAACAAATGACGTTTTTGGCCCGAAAATAAACATGATTTAACATTGCTTAAATGGAACTGCCAAAACTGCATATGTTCAATGCTATTAGTATAGGATTCGGGCCAGCAACGTTATTTGTTTATGTTTATGATCCATACCGGGTATTTTTCTAGTATTCGTGACATGGCACTAAGAAACAATTCTCCTTGTAAACAAATTAAATTAAATAGCAGAACAGCATTTCTGACAACAGCTGGAGTTTCATAACGTTTGTTTCCCATGTTAATCTTATGGAGAAATACCAAACTTTAAAGGGCCCCAGGGCCTCACTCTCTAATTATTTCCCTATAAAGAAGTTTCCTGCACAACTTCACGTTACGCTCTTTCAGCTCTTTCCAATTACACCAAAAACATGTCAATCGGTTCAGTAGTTTCAGAGGAATAATTGTCACAAAAAATCTGCTTGCGTATTAAATAAGTACTAGTGGTCATCCTGTGGTCGAAACTCGACCAAAAATAATTAATGTACAGACTTCTCTATTTTCTCCCCACACTGTAAATAAAACATGTGATTGGGATTTCTTCCATTTGTTTTGATTTTCTATTTACATTTTGTTGTTATTTCGTCACCATCATGGCAACCCAGTTGGTCCATGTTAATTTTTTGAAGTTTTCAAATTCGTTTTTTGTGCTTATTTTTTAGCCTATTTTAATTTATAAAGGGATTCTGCACATCTACAGGCAAATATCTTTCTAACAGTATGCGTAGATTTCCCCTGCGATGCACACGAGCTGAGAAAAAAGGTTTTAAAGAAACATGCTTGCCTATTAATATATAGATAGATAGATTTTGCTGTTCTTGTATTACTATGAAATTTAATTCCAGAAACAATACTTATACAGTATTCATAGTTATGTCACTGTAGGGCTTTGGATTTTAATTATTGCATGATTGCATTAATTTGTATCTCATTGTTTATATTTAATTTGAAATACACTATGATGCCGATATACAATGACAACAATAGAGAAAGTTAATACCTTGTATACAAATATTTTCCACTGATCAAATTTGTTTCAGACCAAAAGCACAACTTCACTCATTCAGCAGGGAAAAGTCAGTGTTGGATCGTAAGTACAATATTAAAATCAATTGCTAGATTCTAACCAGTCTGTTGGTTTTTGTTTTCTGTAGCTTTGTTAGTATAAAACCGATTTGTCAACCTCTTTTTACCTCTTTCACAATCTTAATGCGTTGTATGGTTCCTAAAAAATACAAAAGAATATTTTTTTGTCATACTTATTAGGGATGAACAGAATCATACTTTTAGTTTGGGTCGGGATTTTTCCCCCACAATTGCAGGGAAATCATCGTTTTAGCAGAAAAATTGTAAAGATATCCTATAATCTCGACGAAATCGTGATCATCTCCCTTCATCGCTGAGATATCATTATATTCACTCTCGATCGTAGAGACATCAGCCAATGAATACAAAAATTATAAGAAGCGCAATGCCTTTGTACAAAATTCAGTCTGGGAATATTTGAATTTCAGATAGTTCCCGCGGCGGTTGCTAGGTAGACTACCCGCATAGAAACAATGTTGCAAAGAAACATGTGAAGGTAAACATGTTTCAAAAACCTCAGTTATTTGAGTATGGCTAATTTCTGGCCCCTTGTCTTCACCAACTATTGTACTTTAGCTAGTACTACCAAACGTCCTTTTTAGGCACTCTTTAGGTTAAGTCTGGGAGTAATGGCGTGAGAGTTCAGTACAGGATATGGTCTGTTTCAGTTGCAACATAGGAGAGACAGTGTTGGTAGTTTGGGATGATAGTTACCAGAGTTACATGATCCTACAGGAGAGCTCCACTCTGTACTTCCTGCACCCAGACAGTCTAGGAGCCATGTCTCTCATGTGTTCTCTAGGTAATCAACAGTATCTGTCTTAAAACCATTAATTCATTTTCAGGATGTTTTTCAAGTTTTTATCGTTCTTTAAATATAAATAAGAGGTAATGCATTATCAGTAAGTAATAAAAACATTAAAAAAATTTTTTTTTTCTATTTCAAGACACGTTTCAACAAAAGATTTCATGAGGTACCCTTGTAGACAACTATAGTGTTGTCTTGATAGCAAATAGTTTTAGAGCACCAGAATTAATTGGCTCAACTCCCTAACAAAATTGTGTTATCCCACATAAGGTACTTAATTATTTTCTGGTGGTAAATAGGGACAGGAGGCATGACTTTCTACAAACTTTATGAATGTTATTTATTGTCTGGGAAATTCGGGTTGTACCTTAAAAGGAACTCTTGCTACAAAGTTAATTCTAATGATGGGTAAAACACAAAGACCATAATTTTTTATATTGATAAAAGCAACATTTGACCACTTGTAGAGCAATTAAGTTTTCCAGTATTGTTGGCTATTTTTTATACATATAGACCTTATTAAAGGACCTGGTTCCCAAATAGTGAGTAAGGTATACTTGTCCTGATTTTTTCACCCAATAAATAACCTAACCATTTGTTTTTAAGACTCAATTATTGTTGTTCCAGATGGGAGTCCAAGACGTATTTACAGTGTTGCCGAGGTGGTTGAAAAAGAATACTGTCACGCCAGAAAGGTAGGTTGGCTTACTTAATTTTTTACAATGTTTTTAAGGTTGTGGTAGCAACGGTTTTAAATGTAGTAATATACATAATTAGAGATTCTATTGAGAGTGTGAAACTTGGTTCTCAAAGAAACTTGCAAAAGTTAAAAGATGCAATGCTTTTTTATTTGTTTTTTTTTTAAAGAAAGTTTTGAAATCACATTAATATCTATATATTAATTACCTAAGCCGATTCCTTGCGTCAAAATTGTGGGTGACTGGGAAGTCGTAGAATGACGGGACAGGGCTCAAATTAAAGGTCTCAATCCCGGGACGGTGGGAAAAATAGTGAAATTCCCAAAATTTTAACACAAAATTAGGTAGGTATAATCATAGATAAAACATACTCCTTAGTAGATTTCCCTTCCTTATGGAACAGCTGAACCCAATTTTATTGTTTCCGTCCGGTGTACCGTATATGTTGTGTTTTGTTTACAATTTGTTTATATTATTTTAGGGTTAGTTTCTCATGTTTTGTGCCTCACTATTTGATTATATAGCTAGTGGACAAGTCATTGTTTATGATTAGACAGTTTCATTTGGTTAAACGAGGTTTTAAATTACTGAAATAGCAAGGAACAAATTGTAAACAAAACACGACTCCACAGTACACTGGACAGAACCAACAGTTAAATTGGCTTCAGCTGTTCCATAAGGATGGGAAATCTACTAAGGGAGTATGTTTTATCTATGGTATATGTTATCTTGGTAATGTTCTCCATAAGAATAGCATTAGAAGCCATTTACTGCTGATCTTTGTTTACTTCAATACAGCTGATTGCGATTTATCACTAAGCCGGTATGCAATATTAACATTTAGATGACTTATTTGCCGGTCAATTCTGCAACGTACTATATAAAACCAGGGATAACGTTACCTATAATGTTAAGACTTTTTAGTTACGTCATAGAATGTTGAAATAAATTATCTTACTGTGAAACTTTTCAAATTTGTGTATTTTTAACGTTTACAATGAAATAACCACATTGACTAAGTAATTACCGATTCAAGATTAAATGGAGAACCTTTGCTTTGTTTTTATTTCAAAACATATGTTCGAAGATTTATTCTACACTTTCTTTGTAAATTGACTAACAAAAAAAATTTTAATTTGAGATTTATTGTAGTGTATAATCAATATTTTGTATGAAGTGGAATATAACCTCAATGGCTACTCTTAGAAAATAACTGGGAATAAAGATGGAATAGTAAAGTAAAGGAATTATATTTGTAAATTAAATAAGTACTATGACATGTTCCAATGGGCGAAAAAAAAAAACAACATTGTTTGGAGGAGATTTTAAACAGGTACTGTCTGTTGCTCCAAGCAAAAATGGTTAAAATTATATAGGTTAGCCTAGAATCAGAATGTATGGTATATAATAGTAAAGGGAGCATCCACATATATAACAATAAAACCTAAATCCGTTTCTTTACAAACCAAAACTATGCATGTCAATGCTGATGAAAAGTATTTTTGTGATTGGTTTCTATAACTGGGTAATGAACCCCTAACCAATTGAAAATCTTAATTTTCCTTCGGGATTGCGATGAAAGAGTGAATTTTTCCTTCACAAAATCTTCATAGTTCTCTGAAAGCAACAGTAAAAGCCTGGCTTGACTCAGCCTACTATCTTTAAAATAATAGGCTGAATTTCATTAAAAATCCAACTATTGGAATGGGTTATGGACCCAATTGATTTGGATGGTTAGAGTTCTACTGTTACTGATTAGTTGGTTGTCCCATTAGTCAAATGTTACAAAATAAGGACTCTCAAGATGACTCTTACTAGCTTACAGCAGTTTTCTTTCTTTATCTTCTTGGTTGGCTGCTCTTAGGTCTATTTAATATCTTTGGTAATCTGACCCCCCTAATCACTTAGGTTGCAGACTGTAACTAAAATTCTCATTGAGTGATTTGTGTTGTAGCCTGTGAACCGATACAACGTAGCCAAAGGCACCAAGTTCTACAGAGTGAAAGTGAAGCCTCTGTCAGTTCTATCTCACAACTCCCAGTCCAGCAGCGGCTGCAGCGCTTAAATATCATGAGAAATTTTACTTTATCCTACACCTGGTAATTTTAACTAAACAAATTGTTGGTAGGAAACACTCTGTTTTGTTGGGTATACTTCTATTGTTATTCTACATTCAAATTATATTGTTGTTTTCTCTAGTTTATCAGAGTGCAAGCTGTGTTTAATTTGTGTTAGTAGAGGATATTTTATTTTAATGTGACGTTTTTGTGTGATAAAATACGGTGTATTAATTTAGAGGCAATCATAATAGTGTTTTAGTTTGTTTTATCTTTGACCAATAGTGTAATGATTTTATGTAAGTAAATGTCTAGATGTAAGATTAAAAGTAGGTGAGTTGTTTTGAACAATAAAATTTAGCTACAAGAGACAACAATCGCAAAATAGAAGCAAATTTTTTTTGTGAAGTTGTAATGTCTTTGTTTGGAAATCATGTGTTGTATTTATGGATAGAAACTACTTATTTTTTCGAGGACAGTGGTAGAATTAACAAACTCTCTGTAGTTAGTAGCTGTAGTATGTCTGTATACTTTCACAATTAACATCACAATGTAGACTGTATATCTGCTCACAAGAGAATACGCAAGGACATAATGTATTCTGCGAGTGTCGTATTTATCAGTTGTCGTCGGTAGTTAGGTTTTTGCCACTTGTGTAGTGATATTATGTAGTATTTTGATCTCGCAGGGACATAATTACAAGTTGAATCATAATAGTTTAGTCGTACGTCAAACAATGTACCTGATTATAAGGTATGGAGTTCTAATCAGATTTATGAATCAACATTTTTTATCTCTTTTTTCCGATCCAGAGTCAAATTAGCATTTTTTTTATAGAAATAGGCACTTACCGAATTTGGCCACCATTCTGTGTAACAATGTGGCCAAGTATTCATCATTTTGTCTGCACACCAAGTTATAACCTATTTAATTAGTGTAGTTGTTTTGTAAATATTGTACATGGATGTAAATAGCACAGCAAAGGTTGTATATTTTGTTTGCAGTAATTCTGTGATAGCTTGCTCATCAGCATAGGGCATAAGATTGTGATTATGTCAGTTGTCTGTTGCAAGTCTGTTTTCCAGATTTTGTAATTATCTCAACTTCTCATAAAATACATATTGTTAAATTGTAGTTGAAGTTTTAATGTTCTGCTTACCTTTGAACTTCCGTTGGAAATCACATGTAAATTTGTGAGGATAGCAAACATAATGTTTGATTTTTCTGTGACTTTAATTACTGATAAGTCTGAATCTGTATGGTCACTCAACAAATTATGTATTGAGAGTAGTGATTAAAGGCTGCATATTTTCTTAATGATTCTCCTCGAAAGTCATCAAATTGTATTCATTGACGCTTTACCTATTCTGGCCTGATTATCCAGCCAGTTTCTATTTTACATAATGATAATATACTCTATTCTTTTTAGTAGCTAGAAAAATATGTAGGCAAGGCAAATAGCACCTTAAAAATTAAAACAGATCATTGGTGGAAATAGCCTAGGGCTTTTTTAGAAATTATCATAGTGATTTACATAACAATTTTATCCTTGATGTGGTGTCTTTAAAATTTATTTACATTTTGAGAAATCTGTGTTAGTTGACTAGCATAACCGTAGCAAGTGTACTTATGAATATTCTGTGTATTTGCACCACACTGTACTATAAGTTGTATATAGCGATGTAATGTATATTTTCGTACACAGGAGATGTTGTGTAGATGTTGAGCCTTTATTTAGTCACTACTTTAAGATCGTTTTGTACCAATCATCTTGCTGCGTTTGTGATGTCCTTTGAGTATAGGTAAATTAATTTTATATTTGATCTATTGAGATAACAGATTATTAGATTTTTACGACTAGTTGTAATTTCTCCTGCAAATACATGTCTATCAAAAAGTTGCTGGGTTTTATTTACCTTCAAAACGCTAGTTGTTTTTAATTGGTACTCTCTTCACAAGGTATGTAGAGAGGGAAAATTCTTCCTAAAATAGAGCCCTTCCAGTCTGACTATGTTTTAGTGAAGGTGCATTATTTTCCAATAACAAAAGATAGGATAGGATATTAAAAAAAGGTTCAGCCAAGAATATTTAAAAAGCGTATTTTGTAATTAAATTATTTGTACATTTTATGACTTATTTACAATTTAAATCTAATGGTGCGGTAAGTGCTGGAAGTAGTTGTTGTTTTGAAACTGAAATGACTGGAAGAAGTTTGTGTCCGTAAGTGTACTCGCGGGTTGCGGGAAAGCGAGGCAATCTTCTTGCGAACTATTGCTTTGGTCAGGAAATTGCGGGGGTCGAGCGTAACACTCGATGCTAGGTTCGTAAGGAGCCATCAGTCGGGACTCGTGCATCGTCGGTTGAAACTCGTCAGGTACAATCATATGTTCAGAACCAAGGTATCTCGTGTCTTCGTAGTACATCCTAGAGTGCTCGCCCTCAAACTTATTGTAATTGTCTTTGTCGTCAAAGTGAAAGTTCATCAGCCCTAACGCTTCACGCTGCATGTACTCGGAGGGGTAGTGAGATCGTGAGACCGAACACGCAGAGTCTTCTATCGCAGGCTGAGACGCTGACTCGGGGGAACACTGGGGTAACTGACAGCTACTGTTGCTGTCCTCCACACTCATTGAGGATCCAGGTAGCATCCAGTAGGGCTCCGGCTCGGACTTTAAGCTACGGTGAATGGTTCCGCTGCCTAGGTCCAACAGAGTGGTGGGAGACTTGGAGGTGGACTCTGTCATGGTCATCTCTGTCGTCCGTAGAGGTTGGTCAAGCTGGAAGATCTCCTCTGGTTGGAAGAGATCGTTGCAGAGGTTGAAGTCGTAGAGAGGTGCGGGTGTGTTCTCCATGTAGTGTTCTGGAGTGCCCTGAGTGGTATTCTCTGCAGGCCAGTAGGTGTCCCAGGTGTTCTGCATGGAGGGACACACTCGGGACGAACACACACACTCAAACGGAGGACACGAACAGCTGTATCCTGCAACACAATGATCCATTACAATACTTGTAACAACTACAGTAAAATAACTTATGGCAAAAACTTGACAGTTAGACTTCTGAAAATCTGAGTCCCATCAAAGAAACCTAATGGAAGCTATGACAAAATTGATTCTAATTTATCACTCACTTTCAATATTATTGCTATAGCACAACAGTAAGTAGTAAAATAAGAAACAACGTCAGTACCTATTTATTCAGAGAAACCAAATATATTTATTTTATAATTTAAACCCCATTTTGTAAAATTAAATAAATCCTACATTTTATCTCTAATCCATCCCTGAAAGTTTGAATGAAAGTTTAAAAGTTTTATTGTGATTTTTGGTTTGAGATTAAAAATGCCCATTACTTATTACAAATTTTATATCCTATTTTTCATGTAGGATTTTACAATCTATACTTCAACCAATAGAAAAAATATTTAACCATTAAGTTTCAAAAGTTCTGAATAAAGGATCATAAACCATAAATAAGTTACTTATGCTAGCTTTCTCTTATTTAAAATGTTAACTAAAATCTCTTGCAATACCTGTCTTGTCCACATCTGAGATGAGAGGAGGAGGGAGGAGCTGTCTGCTGTTGGGTGTTTCCTCCATATCACAGGAAGATCTCTTGGTATCCCTCAGGGTAAGTAACTGCAAAAACATTATCAGTTTAAGAAACTTTCAACTACTACTTAGATTTCATGAATAAATCTCAATTTTGTTAGGGGTTTTCATTATATATATATTATATATATATATATATTAAATCCCTAAATACAATTGTTTGCAAAGGTCTATCTACTACGTAATAAATAAATAAATATATATAGACATTTAATGAAGAACAATCAATGTAATAGCATTATTTTACTTCTGCTCAATATACAAGTATCCAATAAGTCAATGGTACTATCTTGATCTTGTATTTTGCTACTTGGAGCGCTAGTGGTCATTCTTGTACAACAACGTACTGTACCACCATTGATTCTCAGTTAGTACATACATTTGCCACCTAAGAGCTAGGTGTACGTAGCATCGGTAAAGTATTTAGAAGTGCCAGGGATTACTACTTCGAAGCGCTAGCATTTAGAGAATTGAGTTGAGAGTACAGTTGATAAGACGAGTAAATAAACAACATTATACAAAAAAATTTATGTACAATTTAGTTTTCGCTAACAAATTTGTATTAGTACAAAGATTTAAAACATCTACGCTTAACGAAAATTATAAATTTAAATGAGAAATATTTTTTTTCTGACGATTAGATTATGTCTACTGTTTTACTGTTCAATAGTCGAGAGGAATTGGAATCTAGTTAAAACTCGAGTAATTATTTTTTGAAGCAATTTGAAATCAAAATAAATAAGGAACTTAGTGAATATTTTGACTCATTAGTCACATCTCACATCTAATTGGCTTTATACGTATACAAGTACAGCGTTAAATTAAATTTTCTATCATTTTAAAATCGTAATGTATGCCAGAGATGGAAATAAAATTTAATTCAATATAAAAAAACTTGCACATCAGACTATAGTGAGCTGGGTGTATGGAGATGAGGGGTGTTTGGAACATCTGTTGCTAACCGACATGGTCGAGTGGTTAAGCATTTTATTTTACCCCTGAGTTAACCACCGCAGTCATCCCCAATGAAGTCTCTATATTACAAAATTATATGAAACATGACCAGTCACAAAATATTTGGTATTTACTTTATAGCTTGATTTCATTGGGAACGCAGTGGAACGGCCTAAATTCTTTTCATATTTCTTAATAAAAATGAATTCTAACCGCTCAGCTAGGATGGGGCCTGATTGTTTGTTTAAACCCAGTTTTGAAACATATTATACTGATGCTACACACTTGTGGTTACCGTTTTTCGTTGTTCTGTAGTACGGTACAATTTTAAAGAACAGCGGAATTTTTAGAGGGAGGCGTACTGGTGTACAAGATACAGAGGAGTCAGGAGTATTAGCACCCGCTAGTCCCGATAAGATTCATTTCAGAAACTTACAATACAACTTTCGGAGCTCAAGACAAGAGAGTGTGTCACTACAATCTACCGATGAGTTACTTTACGAAAGCAGGGAAGCTGCAGGGTCCAGTTTCGAGCCATAAAAACTACTGAACTGACTTCTCAGGATCGAACCAGCGATCTTTGACTGCTATAGCAACTTTATAGCCCTTCATCGCATTTCGTGTCAAAGAAAGTATTTGCAAAGAAAAAGGTAACAGCTCAGTTGAATTGAGGTGTACCAAGATTTGACCAAGGGAGCCTACCAATACCGCCGAGACAAAACAATATAGTTACATTTGACATCCAACTATTCCGTTTCAATACAGTGACAAAGACTGCCCACTCCGTACCCCACCCGGGGGAAATGAGTATGTTTAGAGGTTAGTCTGTGAAAGGTGGTAATCTGTGTTGAGCTACGAGGGGCTGGCGGCGCGCGCGCGCGTGTGGTCGGGGCGGACCGATGCAAATAGTCCCGCGCAAGCTCCGTAACTTACTTTCTATTAGCCTAATGCCATCGCGACGGCGTTGTACACTGCCTGCTCGCTAGTCGCAGCTCGCGGCCTACTGCACATTTAAGTGTGTACTTTTTGACCCGGAGTGTGCATTTCAAATCTAAGATGAGTGTTGAATTGATTTCGATTTCTTATGGTATCTTAATAAGGCCAGTAGTTTTTTTGTCCCAATCATACAAGGACAACTGGGCCCATTTTGCAGTTTTTCTCGTTCTTAACATAAGATCACTTCATGAAACCAGAGAGCAAAATGTGTCATCTAAATAAGTTAAAAATAAAGATGAAGAGAAGGGCACATGATGTTCAGCGGGCCGTAGGCTACTTCCGTGGCATATGGTGTAAGTTACCCATCAAATGGTTTATTTTTTCCTAGGATGAGTTTGCACATTGCGTCTGAAGTTCAGCGTGTACAGTATTTAACTTTTCTTCTGTTGCAGGCTGTTTTTTTTCCGCAGTACGGTTACCAGTTCCAAGACAGGTCTATTACATGCACCTTTTGGCCAGGACAGCCACTTGTAAGAGTTAATAAGAGTTCGTTTGGCTCACTCATCCGTTCTCGTTTGGAATACTGTCAAGAGTGTCAAGACCCTTAAGTTTTATTCTATGCATAGAAGTAAATAAAGGTCTTACATTCCGATGTAACATCTAATGAAGACCGCACAGTTTCATAGTATGACCTTAAGAAATAACAAAAGTACTGTCACGCTACTCAAAAAATAGTGGCAATTGTTTCAAAAAGCAAGTCACTTCACAGAAAAGGCTTACCGTCACCTAACCAGTCATCGGGAATATCGTAACTGAATTGAACCTTCCAAGCATTGGATACTGTTCAATTGCTTTCTCACGGTGGTAAGATTAGATGTAGATGTTACAGACCGAAATTAAGGACGTCATAAGATCTGTGATCTGTCAGATAGCGTTGGTTCTCCAGGCATTGAATCACAATCATATAGTCAATGTTTGACCTATGGTGGCTCTACCAGGTGGATTGCTGGGTTTCGTTTTTAAGAGCAAAACTGGACTTCAAGGGATAAGTGTACTGGGCTCGGAATGTAAAACAGATGAATTCATTTCCTTTTATTTAAGACAAAAACGTATATCTTTAGAAACAAATTAATACCAGTGCATTGTATTGACTTTTTTTTAAATGTATACATGATCTCTGGCGGCTGAATGAAGAAGCTCCCCGAACTACTGTATTAGTATAATACATCCATTCTACGTCAATATTTAATAAATCCTCGTCCTGTCTATATTTAGGAATGCACGATCCGATCCTATTAGATGTGGCTATCATCTCACGATGAGCTTTAGTTTCCTCACTCACCCCTCTCTTCGTCGTATCGCGGTACACCCTTGTCTGGACGACACATCCAACCACTTGTCTCCACGATGCTATCAGGAGATCTCGTTACCATCGCCCATCGCCCGGAAGTGTGACGCCCCCGCCACGGGCACGAGTGGGCGCTACTCCGCTTGGACGGTTTAATTGCAGACGAAAGTGTCGTTCCGTGATTTGTGGTCGCGACCGCCGTACTCATGCGTATGCATGGCACCTGCGCCGGGAGGCAGCATGAGCATGCAATGTGCTCTACAGTTTACCCTCGCCCACGCACACACAGGTGACATCGTCGTCTTGTTCTAGTTAGGAGATTTTACATCTTAAGTAAATTATTTGGTTAGTGTTTAGGTGTTATTGGCTCCGTTTTCTCTGATAGAATTATTGCTTCTCTTCTGTTTTCACAGTTTTCGATAATTCTAGTTATTGCTGTCTTCCCGTTAAACCACAAACCTACAGTTCCACATCGATCGTTCCTTTAATATCACCGATTATTGCTATATCAAAACTTGTAGTAAACCTCAACTCCGTTCGTACAGCATCTGCCATTGGCTATTTTAAACATATACTGAGACCATCCAACTTCAAGCGAGGTATCCACGATTCAATTACATTTGAGTTGAAAACCCATCCATCCAGTTAATCCAACGAAGGGGCACGACCAACTTTTCGTGAAGCTAAATGAATTGAAAAGAGGTGTTTAAGAACTAGCAATGTGTTATACTGATGATATCTTACCTTGTTGCCGAGTGTGGCCTCTCTTGCCAGGAGGACTGCGAGGCCTCGCACTCTCCGGCCCGCGCCCAGGCTGCGTCGAGCCTCACTGGTGGACTTGGCCTCCGGCCTCAAGTGGTCGTGGACACCCTTGGCCTGCAGAGAAACAAAACAAACGGTCAAAAAAGATCGGATATGCCATTGACATAAATAATATTGCAGTATCCAAAGTCAGTGAACAAACTTAGATGCGATACTGTAAATAAAATAAATGCAGAACTTTAACTAACGAATTAGGAAACCCATTTCATGCATTGATTAGAAAGAACTTGAGGGATGACGAATTTTTAGGACAGCTGTTCATATGGTAGGTACCTATTTTGGATCTTGTAGTTAATTTCCCCCAACAAATTATTTTATAATAACCCTCTTTGAATGGTAAAATTGAAACTAGAATTTCAAAATCACACTCGTCCTTCTAACCCATACGCCGAACCGGGTGTTGATATTGTCACGTACCTGAAAGAATATAGCGTGTTCCGTATGCCTCCAGAAGTGAGTGACGGGATAGCCGCAGTGACCTCGGCACGGAAGGATCTCCAGACGCCCAGTGCACTGACGGTTGGGACAAGGCTTGCCTGTGACAAGAACAACTGTTAGACAATCCAGCCAAGTTGGTGGGTATATAGTTCTAAAATGTTTGACGTTTCTTCAGATGCAGCACTTGCGATTTGGTATGAGAAAAGATAGATGTTAAAACTGCTTTTACTCAAAAACCTTCTAAAGGAAAAACTTCCTTTTACTTATGATGGCCATTTGTACGCAAGTTAACTTTACCCAAAGCTCAAATGATCACTAAAATATACTGTATTGGTGACTATAGGTGTTCAAGTTGCGATGAACGTAATTCTTAAGTTTTAACTACTCAATTATTCAATTACGTAAAAGACGAACAAATCACCTACTTCTTGAGGCATAATTTACAACACTAAACTTATGTGACTGTATGAACAATATACATAATCTATTTTTGTAAACTTAGTACAACATTATATGTGGGAGTAAATATATTTTATTTACTCTAATGCCCGATATTAAATGACCTAAACTGCTCTATTCTGTTTCCTCCACTGACCTTGTTGCTTTTTCCTCGCCTTGTCACAGATGGCAGGTCTCAAGTGCACCGAGTCACCGTTGGGCAGGACACACCGTCTGGAACACACCAGGACACCCAGACAGGACTTCTTGAGGATGTGTACGTTGTGGTTGTTGGTGTTCCTCATGGCCCAACCCGAGGCGTGTCTCTTGGCCTCCTCGCTGGAGGGAGGGTAGACCAGCCTGCAGTGGCCGTCAGCCCATTCCTGCCACTGGTTGAACTCACTCACCTGCAAATAGTACACAATATAATCGCCATTTCTCTCGTCAGTGGAGATTCGTAGGCACTGGAATCATAAATACTGTGGTTTTCAGCGTCAACTCCTTCGTCAGTTAGAGATTGCTTTCACACTTTGTGTCCTTCCTTTGTAGACGCATCTTTAGTAGCAAGGATGAGACGAGTACTTTTCAGTCCAGAAATAGTGTGAGTGGCAGTCGAAGTTGCGGAAATGCTTTCAGTAGGGATAGTTGAGCAATTTTTAGATACAAATGTTAGGTAAGTTTGTATTTTGCACACGAAAACGGAAGTAAGAAAGATGCGTACTGAAACATGCATTGTAGTTGGTTGAAAACGAGTAACATAAAATACGGATGCAAATACAAAAGGAACCGAATTCTCAGAGAGCTCATTGGAAGTAGTAGTAGGCTACACATTGTAGCAAAACTAGTACGTAAAAAGCTCAGATGACAAGAAATTTGAATAATGCAAACAGCGAAAGACGTTTAGAATGCCAGAAATGGGATGCCCAGGAACACTGAATCCAAACTGGCCTGACCGGGTGACAAGTTGCTTAAAACATGAGGAAAGCCGCGGCAGATGAGTTTACGACGTGTATTTTGGTGGACATATACCGAACAGCATCAACTTGGTTATCCAACTTTATAGTCATACTAGCTGTGTACCCGTTCTACGCACGGGGATCTTATAATATTCAGTTGAAACCTTCTTATATAACGAACAGCAGTTGGTTTGCATATTTTAAGATATGCTGGCCAAACTATTATACATAGCTTCATTTTATGTTGTTTTTTGTTGTTCCGGATCGGTATGACAATCAATAAAAGGTTAAATTACCTCTGTGTCTGCCGGTCGATCCTATAACGGTAGGCTTACTTTTATTTTTACTATCTGATCTCGTTTGCATGGCTCAATCACGTCCTGGTTGAAGTTCGTTCGCTACGCTCACTCACCTGTATGTTGGAGCTCGTTCGCTGCGCTCACTTTCCTTCAGGTTAGCTCGTTCGCTACGCTCACTTGCCTTCAGGTTAGCTCGTTCGCTACGCTCACTCGCCTCCAGGTTGCAAATTAGCTGTTGTCATAAATGTAAAAGAAATAATAGTGCTAGTGCTGCACCCTGTTGGTAATCCTTGTAACTTTAATGCTATTGAACATCACAGAACAGAACCAACTTGTTTAATTGAAACAGCTGTTAAGATTCAATAATTTCATTTCTCATAAGGTTAACATGGGCTTCCAGAAATTCCACGTCAAAAATCGACAAAAACTTGATTTTCAAGGGTTTACTGTTAAATATCTAACTGTCTCATATTCGATGAAATACGTCTAAAACCATCTCATATATGTATAGTATTTGGAAAATAAGTTTCAGGCGGGACAGTGCTATAGTTATTGAGGAGTAGTTGTAATAAAGTGCGTATTTTAGCGTTACCAAGAGAATGACAGATAGACAGACAGACAGACAGACAGACAGACAGACAGAAATTGAGATAAGGTTTGATTCGGTTTCTCTGACCTATGAAATGTAAAAATAACCAAAAAGTTCATTATTCTAAGCAATGTACAGACAAAACTCTAATTTTATTTATATAGATAAGCAGTCACATCCAATATAACATTTAGTTTTAAAATTTACCCTACCCAAATAATTCCAAAAGAGAAACTAATCAGAGAGACCCAAATGTCTCTAAAACAAAAACTAAATATTAACCACATATGTTCCTTTGATTGAATGTGTTTTTGTTGATGGTGAGTTTAGTGGAACATGCCCACAATAATCTCCTAAATATCGTCACACCATACTTTTGGCAGTAAAAAAACACAACTCGAAAATTAGTCTACAAGCATAAAATGTTTACATAGGGGAGATCTGCGCTAGCAGTGACATTTTTTAGTCAATCAATTGCAAAAAATAGTATATAACATTAGTTGTGGAAATCCTTATAGAATGGTGTATTTACTGTTATTACCGATTGCCTGTTACTACCAGCGAACTGCGGCAGTCCAGTTATATTAGTCTTTGATATTAATGTCACTTGGACATTTCGTAAACTAATATTCCCACGGTAATGAGGCTACCTTCTAGCTACTGTAGACTTAAAGGTTTTCACCTGGGAAAAATACTGAATCCGTTACAGCAAAAGCAAACTGTCGCCGTTCGGTAATTGATATTTTTTTCGTTTTAACGGCAGTAATCAATTGATTTGATCAATATAAGATCGAATGGGTGGGTTACTTCTGATAACCTTACAACTTCGGACAAAATAAGACGTTGCAAACAAACAAATCGCTATACAGCTATATCCTTTCGGATTTTATGATTGAAGATACCTAATTTTGAATGCAGTAGATTTACAAAAAATGTCGATAAACAAGGAATGTTACAAGATTAGGTCTAAGTTAGATGTTTGATATAACATAAATACTTAGAATGCTAAGGAGCATGTAGTCTTAACGAGCAACAAAGGACACAGTGTGTGAAGGCAATGGAGGATATCTTTGTATCAAACATTGAACGTAAACTCACCCGAGGTACGCTTGAGTCGTTGATGTCCCAGTCAGCCAGTCTAGACGAGCTTCCCCTAGAGTAGCCGTACACTGACATGGCCGGCGACCCGGGCTCTCTTCTGCAACATACATAAATAACATCTTTATTAAGCCATCGTATTATATTTTGACATGATAACTTTTGTTATAAAAAGTAAAATTGTTCCATTAAAAAGTTGCATAGGAAATGACTTCAACATCCACCTCGAAGGCCAGATAACTTTTTGTTTTAACTGTCTCTGATGCTCCCAGTTCTGATGCTTTGGTTGGTTTGTCATCAGGATCTTATGAACTGAGATTAAAGTCTGAAGAACACAAGATTACATACAACATAAAATCATGTACAAAACCAACGTCCCTATATGCTAACTGCATTTTTCTTAAATCTATCCTACTAATATTATAAATGAGAAATTTTATAAATCCAACCTTTCTCATGGATGTTTGTGACAAGTAAACGCGAAAAGCACTGGTCGGATTGGGCTGAAATTTGGGGTGATGATAGCTCACATTCCCGATTAATATATAGGCATGTTGTTATAACAAAACTCCTTTCAGGCTCCGCCCCAGTGGCATTGGAGTTTCCCATGTTACCTTATGGGTATTCACATTTAAAAAGAATAAAAGAATTTTGTCAGGTGGTTCGACCAAACAAGTTGGTTTTGTGATATTCATCAATAGTACAAGTAATAAGGTTCACCAACAGGGTGCAGAACTAATATTATATTTTAGAGAATTTCCCATATAGGGAATAAGCTATTACCGTAGAAGTACTCATAGTAAGACATGGACCCGGGACCGATTTACTTTTTCGTGTTGAGGTCCCTAGAAGCCAAAAACACTATCCGTTCAAATTCATATATATGGTTGTGTTCACAAAGGTGGATATGTAACTATTTTATACAACAGATTTAAACATCAATATTTTCTCTTCAGTGTCCTATCTGTTGCAAAGCACGGGTAAAGCAGCTAGTATTAAAATAAAAGTACCCATGTCATTATCTGTATTAACTTGACTTGTAAAAGGTGAGCTAAAACTAACAAATTATTTAGTTTATTTTTTGTGTTAAAGTCAAACCACAAGTCACCTTAATGACACTAAAATAAGCCAACTAATTCTCCTACAATGCAGTCAGCAGTATGTACACTCAACACAGGTCATGTCTGTTTTAGTGTTATACACAAGATGTAAAATTAAATTTAATACCAAAATATATAATGAAAAACATTAATTGCTATAAAAAAAGAAAACTCGTGCCGGAAATTAATAAGGCTTATTAAATAAGGCCATATTCACACGGAACCTATTTGAATGTCGAGTTTTTGAACCGAGGTAATGCAACCTTTATTTGCTTATAATGGCGAATTAAGATAACCCGTCCTTGATTCAAAATTCCTCAAATTATCCTGTCTTTACGGTTTATCGTGGCCGGATCGGTTTCATGGGAACTGGTTTACGTCAAAACAGGTGATATTTAATTAGACCGATATTGTAAACACGGTTCGGTCGAGTTGTCTGAATATGCAATGTTTCATAACGTGTCTGGGCGTGGTCGGGACTCGTGGTCGAATTCGATCAACCGCACGCGTGCGAACCTGTTACAAATCTTTAATGTCTGAGATTAGTAATGAGCGTAAACATCGCGTGTCTCATAACTATCACAAAAATATCGACTGCGATCTTTCAACAGTGAACAGACATATTTCGGATATCCTACGAATGGATTTAAGTAATTAACACCATTGGAAATTACTTCACTGCGAGGAAACAGTCAAAATCAGGGTCCTTTCACTATCTAAAGTCGATTTGATGTAAAACGTCGGTTTGATATTATGGATGGTATCATTAATTTTTGTATGGTACAATGACGAATAACATCTGTGCCCTGAATCGATCACGATTTAAAATCCAACAAGAAACCCTTAGACTTGGAAGTACTTTTTAATCATCCTGCTAACATAAAATAAACTTAGGCTATAAGTGATTTTCTAATATGATACAGAACAATTTATATTAGTTAGATCGGAGAGTCATTTAATGATATTCGGGTAATGCATGGAGACCGTTGTTTTTTATTTACATTGTTTATAACATGTAGAAAAAAGCGAACACATAAAAACATAAATACACACTTCAAATCCCATCTTTCAAGACTATGTTTATGAGTAAATCTCATAAGGTCCTCATTTTGCAACATAATAGTAAATGTGAAAAAGGCTTAAAAACGTAATGGGGTTATTCATTCGGTTTGAATCAGAATGATACAGGTGCAGTTTTAAATGAAACAACAAATCACAATGAACGTTATTTTGCTGGTGTCGTTAGTGTGTGTAAGGCCCAATCAATATTCAATGATCTATCAATGATATATAATCAACCCCTCAACCTCAATACACTTTTTATATACTGTATACAAACACACACATACACACAAGAAGGCATTGAACATATGATAACAGGAACAAAAAAAAACTACAAGAGTTAATAATGGAATTAGAAGAACTGAAATGAAGTGATTGTTTAAATTATTCTCAGTTAATGCTTTCAAACATTTACATCTAACAAAACTTTATTTAAATATAAAGATATGCCAATCTGTCGCAACAGCGTACCTTCATCGTAAGCCTCCAGAAATGCAAATTTATCGTCAAACCTGAAGGTCTCCGAAAACATGTACCTATCGTAGGTCAATCACAAACGGCTAACACAGTGAGAATAAATAACAGAAAAATTTCCCGATGGTTCCAATCTTGAACAGCTCAACTTGTACTTATACGACACAATGCTATTACAATAGATGCCCGGCTAATACACGGCATATTCCCGGCTAAGTGTCGCCGGTAGGTGGTATTTGTCAATATTATCAAAGCCGCCGTGTAGGGCCCGCAGCCCACAGTTCTTGCCTGGACGTTCACACGACTCTAAATTGGACGTTTTGTTCGTCAAGTACGCATGTACTTACACCCCTCTTAGGTGTATTGTTGCACTGTTGCTGCCCGCGTATTGTTGGCCTGCTACCCTACGGTTGTAAAGATTTTATCGTTCTTCAATTAGTGTTTGGTGGGTAAATTGTTTACGAAACAGGACTTTGGTTCCATTTTGCGTAATTTGCGATCAGTGTGGTTTGTAAGAACAGTATTAGTATTGGTACTGTTGTTTTTAGTGATATATTTGCTAGATTTTATAACCTTGGGTATTAACCCACGCGTTTATTTTTACAAGGTTTACTTTAACTTGCGATTCATTTTTTGCTATAACTTTGAAAAAATAATAGTCTGTCAGTTTTTTTTTTTCAACTAATGTTCTGAAGAAAAATTCAATCCATAATGATAAATCAAAAACCGTGTGGCTGTTGTAGCCAAGCTAATTAAAGTCCTATTGACAATATTTATTTTAAAGTTTTAAACAATATTGATACATGCCTTCCCAAGTCAAAAATTGCTCAGTGTATAGTTGTTGTAACATCCAAATTCACAAGTTAAGGTTCGGTATGATACAAAAACTCGATCTTGTCAGGTAACACAATAAATATATCACAACTGCACAAACTTGTTTGTGTACTCACAGCTTACGATAGTAAACAGCAAAATAGCGACTACTTCCAAGCGCACCATTAAAGTCTTTTGAAACTATTACACCAAAAGACATACATTTGCACACATTGACGAATAGTGATAGTTTACTACTTCCCGGCACAGGCTTCGTATATCATCAAACGAGTGGGTTTACAATGACATGTAGTTCGAATATAATTTTTGCTATTTTCTCTCGTATTCGGATGTTTGCAGTGTATTCGGATGATGCACTTCTCTGGTTGGAATTGTACGAGCTAAATTCCTATACATAAGGAATATATAGTCAATGGTTGAAGCTATCCACCCAAAGCCCGAGTCTTTTGCGGGCTGTAATGTCTTTGATTACTCTTTGTTAATGTAATTGATCAGCTGACTATTAAAATAAGTTTGTTTATAATTTTTGTTGTTTGTTATTGTTTTGAATAGTGATTTTACAGAAGCCATCTCCCTAAGGAAAGATTGTGGAAGTTTATCATCAACGCATATAACAGAGGTAATCTTTCCCTTTTTTTGAGAATATATGTTGTATAGTCATAGTTTAAGGTAATACAATTAATTCCGAATACAATTTACACCGGGGTCCGGAACAGTTTAGAGTCTACTACATACGCAACACGACTCTCTACGTCTACGTGTTCAGTTCCCCCTTTCCTCGGTGTCCCAAGTCCGCAGTTCCAGGTCCAGGTCGTGTCGATGCGACGTGTCTGTCGCACAGTTTACGGCGGTTCGTGGTCCGTTCCCACACAGACACGTTCGCGGCAACAGAACGTTTAATACCCACAGTTAACACCCGAGTTTGTCCCGTACACTCCGGGGTATGTGGCTTAGGGTACGGAAATGGATTTTACAATCATGTATATTTTTCAATTTATCAAAAGCTCATATTTTTGTGAAAAATTTAATCCGATTTTTAAGTACATTCTTTTATAGTTTACTACTTTCCATGAAACATACTTGGGAAATCTTTAAGCGAGCGTGCATACAATATCATGTAAGCCTCTAATTCGATTTACATAGGAATATCGTACAGAACAAAACGTCTTCTAAATAAACCGAACAAAAATTGTCTTTAACTGAAGGAAGATGATATGTTGTTGTAGGCTGTCTCATTGTATGAAGGAGTATCAGTATGGTAAATGTATACTTTTTGGTAGTTTATTTCATCACACGATCGACCTCTAAGGCATTCTGAAATGATATACTTGTTAACAAAAATAATACAAGATGTAAAGTTAAAGTAGATGGTCGTGTGTGTGTCGTACATTTCAGTTAAATTGTAGTTTGTTCCACGTCCTTTTGCTTTGACACCAACCACTATCTTCGCAAATGCCACAACGCGACCATCTCCCAAAATCAAGAGCGACAACATTTAGTTCACGAACTTGAATGGAAGTTATGTTGTTCATAACTGGAGCGGACGGCGGACGGGGCCGCGCGGAATCTTGCTTTAGGCGGCGCAGAGCGAACAAGTGTCAGAAGCACGTGTGCGAGATTTTGTACCCAC